AGGGCAGTGTGTCCAATCCCCCCATTGGTCTCCATTGTGAGATGTCCCCTATCGGGGCAGAATGTCCTATCCCCCCCCATTGGTCTCCATGTGAGATGTCCCCTATCGGGGCAGAGTGTCCAATCCCCCCCATTGGTCTCCATTGTGAGATGTCCCCTGTCGGGGCAGAGTGTCCAATCCCCCCCATTGGTCTCCATTGTGAGATGTCCCCTATCGGGGCAGAGTGTCCAATCCCCCCCCCATTGGTCTTTCCATGGTGAGATGTCCATCTGTCTGGGTCGTGTGTCCAATCCCCCCCATTGGTCTCCATTGTGAGATGTCCCCTATCAGGGCAGTGTGTCCAATCCCCCCCATTGTTCTCCATTGTGAGATGTCCTCTATCGGGGCAGAGTGTCCAATCCCCCCCCCCATTGGTCTTTATGGTGAGATGTCATCTGTCTGGGTTGTGTGTCCAATCCCCCCCATTGGTCTCCATTGTGAGATGTCTCCTGTCGGGGCAGAGTGTCCAATCCCCCCCATTGGTCTCCATTGTGAGATGTCTCCTATTGGGGCAGAGTGTCCAATCCCCCCCCATTTGTCTCCATTGTGAGATGTCTCCTATTGGGGCAGAGTGTCCAATCCCCCCCATTGGTCTCCATTGTGAGATGTCTCCTATTGGGGCAGAGTGTCCAATCCCCCCCATTGGTCTCCATTGTGAGATGTCCCCTATCGGGGCAGAGTGTCCAATCCCCCCCATCGGTCTCCATTGTGAGATGCCCCCCTCTCTGGGCAGAGTGTCCAATCCCCCCCCCATTGGTCTCCCATTGTGAGATTTCCCCTATCGGGGCAGAGTGTCCAATCCCCCCCCATTAGTCTCCATTGTGAGATGTCCCCTATCGGGCAGAGTGTCCAATCCCCCCCCCCCCCCCCATTGGTCTCCATTGTGAGATGTCCCCTATCGGGGCAGAGTGTCCAATCCCCCCCATTAGTCTCCATTGTGAGATGTCCCCTATCGGGCTATCGGGGCAGAGTGTCCAATCCCCCCCCCATTGGTCTCCATTGTGTGAGATGTCCCCTGTCTGGGGCGTGTGTCCAATCCCCCCCCATTGGTCTCCATTGTGAGATGTCCCCTATTGGGGCAGAGTGTCCAATCCCCCCCATTGGTCTCCATTGTGAGATGTCCCCTATCGGGCAGAGTGTCCAATCCCCCCCATTGGTCTCCATTGTGAGATGTCCCCTATCGGGCTATCGGGGCAGAGTGTCCAATCCCCCCCATTGGTCTCCATTGTGAGATGTCCCCTATCGGGCTATCGGGGCATAGTGTCCAATCCCCCCCATTGGTCTCCATTGTGAGATGTCCCCTATCGGGGCAGTGTGTCCAATCCCCCCCATTGTTCTCCATTGTGAGATGTCCCCTATCGGGGCAGAATGTCCTATCCCCCCCATTGTTCTCCATGGTGAGATGTCCCCTATCGGGGCCGTGTGTCTAATCACCCCCATTGGTCTCCTTTGTGAGAGTTGTCCCCTAACTGGGCCGTGTGTCCAGTCACCCTCATTGGTCTCCATTGTGAGATGTCCCCTGTCGGGCAGAGTGTCCAATCCCCCCCATTGGTCTCCATTGTGAGATGTCCCCTGTCGGGGCACAGTTTCCAATCCCCCCATTGGTCTCCATTGTGAGATGTCCCCTATCAGGGCAGTGTGTCCAATCCCCCCCATTGTTCTCCATTGTGAGATGTCCTCTATCGGGGCAGAGTGTCCAATCCACCCCCCATTGGTCTCCATTGTGAGATGTCCCCTGTCTGAGTCGTGTGTCCAATCCCCCCCATTGGTCTCCATTGTGAGATGTCCCCTATCGGGGCAGAGTGTCCAATCCCCCCCATTGGTCTCCATTGTGAGATGTCCCCTATCGGGCTATTGGGCAGAGTGTCCAATCCCCCCCATTGGTCTCCATTGTGAGATGTCCCCTGTCGGGCAGAATGTGTCCAATCCCCCCCATTGTTCTCCATGGTGAGATGTCCCCTATCGGGGCCGTGTGTCCTAATCACCCCCATTTGTTCTCCATTGTGAGATGTCCCCTAACTGGGCCGTGTGTCCAGTCCCCCCATTGGTCTCCATTGTGAGATGTCCCCTGTCGGGGCAGAGTGTCCAATCCCCCCCATTGGTCTCCATTGTGAGATGTCCCCTGTCGGGGCAGAGTGTCCAATCCCCCCACCCTTGGTCTCCATTGTGAGATGTCTCCTGTCGGGCAGAGTGTCCTATCCCCCCATTGGTCTCCATTGTGAGATGTCTCCTATTGGGGGCAGAGTGTCCAATCACCCCCATTGGTCTCCATTGTGAGATGTCCTCTATCGGGGCAGAGTGTCCAATCCCCCCCATTGGTCTCCTTTATGGTGAGATGTCCCCTATCGGGCTATCGGGGCAGAGTGTCCAATCCCCCCCATTGGTCTCCATTGTGAGATGTCCCCTATCGGGCTATTGGGGCAGAGTGTCCAATCCCCCCCATTGGTCTCCATTGTGAGATGTCCCCTGTCGGGCAGAATGTCCAATCCCCCCCATTGGTCTCCATTGTGAGATGTCCCCTATCGGGGCAGAATGTCCAATCCCCCCCATTGTTCTCCATGGTGAGATGTCCCCTATCGGGGTCGTGTGTCTAATCACCCCCCATTGGTCTCCATTGTGAGATGTCCCCTAACTGGGGGTGTGTCCAATCCCCCTCATTGGTCTCCATTGTGAGATGTCCCCTGTCGGGGCAGAGTGTCCAATCACCCCCATTGGTCTCCATTGTGAGATGTCCCCTATCAGGGCAGAGTGTCCAATCCCCCCCCCCATTGGTCTCCATTGTGAGATGTCCCCTGTCTGGGTCGTGTGTCCAATCCCCCCTATTGGTCTCCATTGTGAGATGTCCCCTATCGGGGCAGAGTGTCCAATCCCCCCCATTGGTCTCCATTGTGAGATGTCCCCTATCGGGGCAGAGTGTCCATTCCCCCCCATTGGTCTCCATTGTGAGATGTCCCCTATTGGGGCAGAGTGTCCAATCCCCCCCATTGGTCTCCATTGTGAGATGTCCCGTCGGGCAGAATGTCCAATCCCCCCCATTGGTCTCCATTGTGAGATGTCCCCTATCTGGGCAGAATGTCCTATCCCCCCCCCCCCCCCATTGTTCTCCATGGTGAGATGTCCCCTATCGGGGCCGTGTGTCTAATCCCCCCCCCATTGTTCTCCATTGTGAGAGATGTCCCCTAACTGGGCCGTGTGTCCAGTCACCCCCATTGGTCTCCATTGTGAGATGTCCCCTGTCGGGGCAGAGTGTCCAATCCCCCCCATTATTCTCCATTGTGAGATGTCCCCTGTCGGGGCAGAGTGTGTCCTTTCCTCCCCCTTTGTCTCCATTGTGAGATGTCTCCTATTGGGGCAGAGTGTCCAATCCCCCCCCCCCCATTTGGTCTCCATTGTGAGATGTCTCTTATTGGGGCAGAGTGTCCAATCCCCCCCATTGGTCTCCATTGTGAGATGTCTCCTGTCGGGGCAGAGTGTCCAATCCCCCCCATTGGTCTCCATTGTGAGATGTCCCCTACTGGGGCAGAGTGTCCAATCCCCCCCATTGGTCTCCATGGTGAGATGTCACCTGTCGGGGCAGAGTGTCCTTTCCTCACCCATTTCGTCTCCATTGTGAGATGTCTCCTATTGGGGCAGAGTGTCCAATCCCCCCCATTGGTCTCCATGGTGAGATGTCCCCTGTCGGGGCAGAGTGTCCTTTCCAATCCCCACCCTTAGTCTCCATTGTGAGATGTCTCCTATTGGGGCATAGTGTCCAATCCCCCCCATTGGTCTCCATTGTGAGATGTCCCCTGTCTGGGCAGAGTGTCGTGTGTCCAATCTCCCCCATTGGTCTCCATTGTGAGATGTCCCCTATCGGGCTATCGGGGCAGAATGTCCAATCCCCCCCATTGGTCTCCATTGTGAGATGTCCCCTATCGGGGCAGAATGTCCTATCCCCCCCCCATTGTTCTCCATGGTGATATGTCCCCTATCGGGGCCGTGTGTCTAATCACCCCCATTGTTCTCCATTGTGAGATGTCCCCCTAACTGGGCCGTGTGTCCAATCCCCCCCATTGGTCTCCATTGTGAGATGTCCCCTGTCGGGGCAGAGTGTCCAATCCCCCCCATTGTTCTCCATTGTGAGATGTCCCCTGTCGGGGCAGAGTGTCCAATCCCCCCATTGTTCTCCATTGTGAGATGCCCCCTGTCGGGGCAGAGTGTCCTTTCCTCCCCCTTAGTCTCCATTGTGAGATGTCTCCTATTGGGGCAGAGTGTCCAATCCCCCCCATTGGTCTCCATGGTGAGATGTCCCCTGTCGGGGCAGAGTGTCCTTTCCTTGTGAGATGTCCCCTTAGTCTCCATTGTGAGATGTCTCCTATTGGGGCAGAGTGTCCAATCCCCCCCATTGGTCTCCATTGTGAGATGTCCCCTATCGGGGCAGAGTGTCCAATCCCCCCCATTGTTCTCCATTGTGAGATGTCTCCTATTGGGGCAGAGTGTCCAATCACCCCCATTGGTCTCCATTGTGAGATGTCTCCCTTTTGGGGCCGTGTGTCCAGGCCTCCCCATTTGCCTCAGTTGTCCAGGCCCCCCCTCATTGGTCTCCATTGTGACAAGTCCTTTTTGAGGACAGTCCAGCCTTGTGGATCTTTGGTAGTGAGGCAGGTTCAGCAGATAGCTTTGGTGGACAGTAGTATGGAGCCTCTGTTGCTTTGAGGTGATGGCTCCTGGCCTGTTGTCTATGCTGGCATCTCTCTCCGGAACAAGCAAGGGTCCAATCCAGATCTCGTGCTTTATCTGGCTCAGTAGTCAGAACTGGGATGACCCCCCCCCCCCCCGGGGCTGATACTTACAGAAACAAGTATGCAGTGGCAGGTCCCATGTTCTCCTGAGGGGTGGTAGTTGTCCATGGGTGGTGGTGGGTGATCTGTTGATATTCAGGCCAGCGATTGAGCTCCAGCCCTGGTCATTGTTGGTTGTATGTGTGTGTGACGGGCAGACCTGGATGACGTGCAGCTCTGCTGAGATCTTATTGGTTTTTCTTCTGATCTTTGTAGCTGGTCTCTGCCGAGACATCACAGCCTGATCAGTCTCCACCGCCACCACCGCCTCCTGAGACCAGACCGGAGCCTTCCCCTCTTCCTCCTCCTCTCCCACCGCCTCCTGTAGAGAGGACCAGTGGCATTGGAGACTCACGCCCTCCCTCATTCCAGTAAGTGTACATGGAATTGGCAGCAGTCCATCGATGTCCAATCAGAGCCCAGTGTTGTCCCTGAACAGGTTTTTACTTTTCTCTACTTTGTAGTCCAAATGTATCCGACAGCGCAGAGAACCTGGATCAAGAAACCGAGACGGAGTCTGTTGTGTCTGTTCGACGGGAGCGCCCCCACGCAGACGGGAGAGTGCCGACCAAGGTGAGGGGGGGGGTGTATGTGAGCGCTGACCAAGGTGAGGGGGGTGAAAGCGCTGTCCAAGGTGAGGAAGGGGGGTGAGAGCGCTGACCAAGGTGAGGAGGAGGGAGGGGGGTGAGAGCGCCGACCAAGGTGAGGAGGAGGGAGGGGGGTGGGAGCGCCAACCAAGATTAGAAAGGGGGGGTGAGAGCGCCGGCCAAGGTGAGGGGGGTGAAAGCGCTGTCCAAGGTGAGGAAGGGGGGTGAGAGCGCTGACCAAAGTGAGGAGGAGGGAGGGGGGTGGGAGCGCCAACCAAGATTAGAAAGGGGGGGTGAGAGCGCCGGCCAAGGTGAGGGGGGTGAAAGCGCTGTCCAAGGTGAGGAAGGGGGGTGAGAGCGCTGACCAAGGTGAGGAGGAGGGAGGGGGGTGAGAGCGCCGACCAAGGTGAGGAGGAGGGAGGGGGGTGGGAGCGCCAACCAAGATTAGAAAGGGGGGGGGGTGAGAGCGCCGACCAAGGTGAGGGGGGGGGGGGTGTATGTGAGCGCTGACCAAGGTGAGGGGGGAGGGAGGGGGGTGAGAGCGCTGACCGAGGTGAGGAAGGGAGGGGGGTGAGAGCGCTGACCGAGGTGAGGAAGGGAGGGGGGTGAGAGCGCTGACCGAGGTGAGGAAGGGAGGGGGGTGAGAGCGCTGACCGAGGTGAGGAAGGGAGGGGGTGAGAGCGCTGACCGAGGTGAGGAAGGGAGGGGGGTGAGAGCGCTGACCGAGGTGAGATGGGGGGGGGGGGGGGTAAGAGCGCTGACCTAGGGGGGTGAAGACAGGTATATACGTGCTTATATTTATTTCCCATCATGCTTCAGTTCTACCATATAAATCTAGGCTCCTCCTCATTTTCTCTGATAGGCCGAACTCTGAATGGGCGGAGCGATCGACACCTGTCTGGTTATGAGTCGTCGTCCACCCTCCTCACCAGTGAGATAGAGACCAGTATCTGTGACTCCGATGACGATGACACCATGAGCAGGTATTGGACCGCTGTTCCCAAACCCCCGCCCTGCACCATGAAGTCATGTCTCCGCCCACTCACTTGTGATTGGTAACACTGAAATCTGACAGCACCATAGGCTGACGGTGTCACATGACTACTAGGCAGATTCTGAGTCTTGTAGTCCCTCCCAATGAGTGCGTGTCTTTGTTAGTAGTTGGTAATACTAACTAGTTGTGTGTTGACTAGTCCTGTCCTCCCTTCACTCTTCTCTGCTTTCCTTTCCTCCCACAGCTCTGCTGTCTGTCCGAGCCACTAATATGCATGTATAGGGTATGTGTTCACCACTGCATCGCCTGAACCCCCGCACCGTCCGTTACCCCCGCACCGTCCATTACCTCCCACCCCCGCACCGTCCATTACCTCCCACCCCCGCACCGTCCATTACCTCCCTCCCCCGCACCGTCCATTACCTCCCACCCCCGCACCGTCCATTACCTCCCTCCCCCGCACTGTCCATTACCTCCCACCCCCGCACCGTCCATTACCCCCCACCCCCGCACCGTCCATTACCCCCCCACCCCCGCACCGTCCATTACCTCCCACCCCCCCCTCCCCACGCCTGACCCCCCGCACCGTCCATTCCCTCCCACCCCCGCACCGTCCATTCCCTCCCACCACCCCCCCTCCCCGCGCCTGACCCTCCACACCGTCCATTACCCCACCCCCCGTCCATTGCCTGACCCCTCCCTCCACACCATCCTGCCCTCGCTCCTACAGACCCTCCTACCGTCCTCCCCTCCCCTACTACAGACCCTCCTACCGTCCTCCCGCCCTCGCCTACTACAGACCCCCCCCCCCGCCCCGCCCTCCCTGACCCCGCACCACCTCCTCCCCTCCTACCGTCCTCCCCTCCCCTACTACAGACCCTCCTATCATCCTCCCCTCCTACCATTCTCCCCTCTTACCATTCTCCCCTCCCCTGTGCCTTCCTCCCCCTCCCCTACTACAGACCCTCCTACGGTCCTCCCCTCCCCTACTACTACAGACCCTCCTACGGTCCTCCCCTCCCCTACTACAGACCCTCCTACGTCCTCCCCTTCCCTACTACAGACCCTCCTACCGTCCTCCCCTCCCCTACTACAAGACCCTCTTCTACCGTCCTACCCCTCCCCTACTACAGACCCTCCTACCGTCCTCTCCCCTCTCCTACTACAGACCCTCCTACCGTCCTCCCCTCTCCTACTACAGACCCTCCTACCGTCCTCCCCTATCCTACTACAGACCCTCCTACCGTCCCTCCCCTCCCCTACTACAAGACCCTCCTGACCCTCCTCCCCTCCCCTCCTACCTCCTCCCCCTCCCCTACTACAGACCCTCCTACCGTCCTCCCCCCTCCCCCTACTACAGACCCTCCTACCGTCCTCCCCTCCCCTACTACAGACCCTCCTACCGTCCTCCCCCTCTCCTACTACAGACCCTCCTAACCGTCCTCCCCTCTCCTACTACAGACCCTCCTACCGTCCTCCCCTCTCCTACTACAGACCCTCCTACCGTCCTCCCCTCTCCTACTACAGACCCTCCTACCGTCCTCCCCCTCTCCTACTACAGACCCTCCTACCGTCCTCCCCCTCTCCTACTACAGACCCTCCTACCGTCCTCCCCTATCCTACTACAGACCCTCCTACCGTCCGCCCCTCCCCTCCTACCGTCCTCCAACCCCTCCCCTCCTACCGATCGTCCTCCCCCACCCCTCCTACCGATCGTCCCTCCCCTCCCCTCCTACCGATCGTCCTCCCCCTCCCCTCCTACCGATCGTCCTCCCCTCCTAACCGATCGTCCTCCGTCCACACCCTCCCCTCCTACCGATCGTCCCTCCCTCCCCTACTACAGACCCTCCTACCTCCTCCCCTCCCCTACTACAGACCCTCCTACCGTCCTCCTCCCCTATCCTACTACAGACCCCCCTCCTACCGTCCTCCTCCCCCTATCCTACTACACGACCCTCCTACCGTCCTCCCCCTATCCTACTACACAACCCTCCTACCGTCCTCCACCCTCCCCTACTACAGACCCTCCTACCGTCCTCCCCTCCCCTGTGCCTTCCTCCCCCCTTCCCTCTCTTGCACCGCCCTCCCCTCCCCCGTACACCCTTCGTTCTAGAGTAGAGAGAAACCCATCATTGGTAATAGAAGTCTTCACTAACCTATTGGAATACCCTGGGACCTCCCCCTTCCCCTCCCCCATCCTCTGCCCCCATCATGAAAGTGGGTGACTTGGCAAGGTGATGAGAAGCAGAACATTGCGCTGAGAGTAGTGGGGAGGGGAGGGTCTGGACTAGAAAGGGAACTCCGATTTTGGACTGAGAATTGGAGAAATATTTCATTACTGTTCACCCTCATTGTGTGGACCCGCCCCCCTCCATCATCTGTACGCTGGGGCAGGACCGCCCCCCTCCATCATCTGTACGCTGGGGGCAGGACCGCCCCCTCTATCATCTGTACGCTGGGGGCAGGACCGCTCCCCTCCATCATCTGTACGCTGGGGGGAAGGACCGCCCCCCTCCATCATCTGTACACTGGGGGCAGGACCGCCCCCCTCCATCATCTGTACACTGGGGGGCAGGACCGCCCCCCTCCATCATCTGTACACTGGGGGGCAGGACCGCCCCCTCCATCATCTGTACACTGGGGGGCAGGACCGTCCCCTCCATCATCTGTACACTGGGGGGCAGGACCCGCCCCCTCCATCATCTGTACACTGGGGGGGCAGGACCGCCCCCTCCATCATCTGTACACTGGGGGGAAGGACCGCCCCCCTCCATCATCTGTACGCTGGGGGGCAGGACCGCCCCCCCCATCATCCGTACGCTGGGGGGGCAGGACCTGCCCCCTCCATCATCCGTACGCTGGGGGGCAGGACCGCCCCCCTCCATCATCCGTACGCTGGGGGGCAGACCGCCCCCCGTCCATCATCCGTACGCTGGGGGGCAGGACCGCCCCCTCCATCATCCGTACGCTGGGGGCAGGACCGCCCCCATCCATCATCCGTACGCTGGTGGACAGGACGCAGCCCCCTCCATCATCCGTACGTTGGGGGTGCAGGACCACCCCCCTCCAATCCTGCAGCTGATGCGCAGTGTCCCTGTGCTGGTACAGGAGAGATATTCTGTTTCCACCTGCAGGTTACATTGCTCTCTATTATACTGACAGGTAATTCAGCAGCTGGCTCCACCGAGCAAAGCAGTGCATCGCGCTTACTGAGAAACGCCCACCCGCCGCCAGCCGCAAACAGAGACCACAACCCAGCGCCTAGAAAGGGTAAGGGGGACCAAACCGCTAGTCTGTCCTCTCCTCTCCCTCTCCCTCTCCTTCCTCTCCCTCCTTCCTTCCCTTTCCCTCTCCCCCCTCCCTCTCCCTCTCCTTCCTCTCCCTCCCCTCCTCTCCCTCCCTCCCCCCCTCCTTCCTCCCCCTCCCCCCCCTCCCTTCCTCCTTCTCCCTCCCTCTCTCTCCTTCCTCTCCCTCCCTCCCTCTCCTTCCTCTCCCTCCTTCCTTCCTCTCCCTCCCCCCCTTTCCCCTCTCCCCCCCCCTCTCCCTCTCCCTCCCTCCCTCTCCCCCTCTCCCACCCTCCCTTTCCCCTCTCCCTCCCCCCTTCCTCTCCCTCCCTTCCTCTCCCCCCCTCCCCCTCCTTCCTCTCCCCCCTCCCTCTCCTTCCTCTCTCTCCCTCCCTTCCCCTTTCCCTCCCTCCCTCCCCCCCTCTCCTTCCCCCCTCCCTCCCTCTCCTTCCCCCCCCTCCCTCCCCCCCTTTCCTCTCCCCCCTTTCCCTCTCCCCCCTCCCCCCTCCCTTTTCCTTTTCCCCCCCTCCCCCCCTCCCTCCCTCCCCCCTCCCCCCTTCCCCCCTCCCCCCTCCCTCCCCTCTCCCTTCCCCTCCCCCCTCCCTCCCCCCTTTCCCCCCACCCCCCTCCCCCCCTCTCCTTCCCCCCCCCCCCCTCCCTTTCCCTCCCCCCCTTTTCCTTCCCCTCCCCCCCCTCTCCTTCCCCCCTCCCCCTCCCCTCTCCTTCCTCCCCCTCCCCCCCTCCCCCTCCCCCCCCTTCCCCTCTCCCCCCTCCCCTCCCTTCCCCCCCCTCCTTCCTCCCCCCTCCCTCCCTCCCCCCCCCTTTCCCTCCCCCTCCCCCCCCCCTCCCTTTCCCTCTCCCCTCCCTCCCTCCCCTCCTTCCCTCCCCCCCCTCCCCCCTCCCCTCCCCTTCCCCCCCCTCCCTTTCCCTCCCCCCCCCCTCCCCCCCCCCTCCCTCCCTTTCCCCCCCCCCTCCCTCCCCCCCTCCCTCCCTCCCCTCTCCCCCTCCCTCCCTCCCCTCCTTCCTCTCCCCCCTCCTCCCTCCCTTTCCCCCCTCCCTTCCTTCCCCCCCCTTCCCCTCCCTCCCTTTCCCCCCTCCCCCTCTCCTTCCTCCCCCCCCCTCCCTCCCCCTTCCTCTCCCTCCCTTTTCCTCCCCTCCCCCCCTTCCCCTTTCCCTCCCTCCCTCTCCTTCCTCTCCTCCTCCCTCCCTTTCCCCCTCCCCTCCCTCCCCCCCCTCCCCCCCTCTCCCTCCCTCCCTCCCCCCTCCCCCCTCCCTTCCCTCCCCTCCTCCCTCCCCCCTCCCCCTCCCCTCCCTCCCCTCTCCTTCCTCCCCCCCTCCCTCCCTTCCCCCCCTCCCCCCTCCCCCCCCCTCCCTCCCCCCCCCCTCTCCCTCCCTCTCCTTCCCTCCCTCCCTCCCTTTTCCCTCTCCCCCTCCCTTCCTCTCCCTCCCTCCCTCTCCTTCCTCTCCCCCCCCTCCCTCCTTCCCCCCCCTCCCTCCCTCCCTTCCTCTCCCCCCTCCCTCTCCTTCCTCTCCCTCCCTCCCCCCTTTCCCCTCTCCCCCCCTCCCTCTCCTTCCCTCCCTCCTTCCCTCTCCCTCCCTCCCCCCCCTCTCCTTCCTCTCCCTCCCTCCCCCTCCCCCCCTCCCCCTCCCTCCCCCCCTTTCCCCCTCCCTCCCTTTCCTCCCCCTCCTCTCCCTCCCCTCTCCTTCCCCTCACCCCCTTCCCCTCTCCCCCCCTTTCCCCCCCCTTCCTTCCTCTCCCCCTTCCCCTCTTCCCCCCCCTTTCCTCCCCTCCCTCTCCCTCCCTCTCCTTCCTCTCCCTCCCCCCCCCCCTTTCCTCTCCCTCCCTCCCCTTTTCCTCCCCCCCCCTTTCCCCTCCCCCCTTCCCCTCCCCCCCTTCCTTCCTCTCCCCCTTCCTTCCCCCCCCTTCCCTCTCCCTCCCTCCCTTCCTCCCCCTCCCTCTCCTTCCTCTCCCCCCCTCCCCTTTCCCTCCCTCCCTCCCCCTTTCCCTCCCCTCCCTCTCCTTCCCCCCTCCCTCCCTCCCCCTTCCCTTCCCTCCCCCCTCCCCCCTTCCCTTTTCCCCTTCCTTTTCCTCCCCCCTTCCTTCCTCCCCCCCTTCCTTCCTCCCCCTCCCTCCCTTCCTCTTCCTTTCCTCTCCCCCTTCCTTCCTCCCCTTTCCTTTCCCCCCTCTCCCCCCCCTTTCCCCTTCCTCTCCCCCTTCCTTTCCCCTTCCCCCTCCTTCCTCCCCCCCTCCTTCCCCCCCTCCCTTCCCTTCCTCTCCCCCCTTCCTTCCTCTCCCCCTCCCCCTCTCCTTCCTCTCCCTCCCTCTCCTTCCTCTCCCTCCCCTCCTTCCTTCTCCCCCCTCCCTCCTTCCCTCCCTCCCTCTCCTTCCTCTCCCCTCCCTCCCCTTTCCCTCCCTCCCTCTCCTTCCTCTCCCCCCCTTCCCCTTTTCCTCCCCCCCTCCTTCCTCCCCCCCCTTTTCCCCCTCCCCCTCCTCTCCTTCCCTCCCCCCTCCTTCCTCTCCCTCCCCCCCTTTCCTCCCCCCCCCTTCCTTCCTCCCCTCCTTCCTTCCTCTCCCACCTTCCTTCCTCCCCCCCTTCCTTCCCTCCCCCCCTTCCTTCCTCCCCCCCCTTCCTTCCTCTCCCTCCTCTCCTTTCCTCTCCCCCCTTCCCTTCCTCCCCCCTCCCTCTCCCCCCTCCCACCTTTCCCCCTTCCTCTCCCCCCCCTCCTTCCTCTCCCTCCTTCCTTCCCTCCCCCCTCTCCCTCCCCCCCCCTTCCTTCCCCTCCCTCCCCCCCTTCCCCTTTCCCCTCTCCCTCCCTTCTCCCTCCCTCCCCCTTCCCTCCCTCCCCTTCCCTTTCCTCCCCCCCCTCTCCTTCCCTCCCTCCCTCTCCTTCCTCTCCCCTCCCTCTCCTTTTTCCTCTCCCTCCCTCTCCTCCTCTCCCCCTTCCTTCCTCCCCCCCCTTCTTCCTTCCTCTCCCCCTTTCCCTTCCCTCTCCCCCTCCTTCCTTCCTCTCCCATTCCTTCCCCCCTTTCCCCTTCCTCTCCCTCCTTCCTTCCTCTCCCCCTTCCTTCCTCTCCCCCTTCCTTCCTCTCCCCCCTTTCCTTCCCTCCCCCTCCTTCCCCCCCCCTTTCCCTTTCCCTCTCCCTCCCTCCCTTCTCTCCCTCCCTCTCCTTTCCCTCCCTCCCTCTCCCACCTTCCTTCCTCTCCCACCTTCCTTCCTCTCCCCCTTTCCTTCCTCTCCCCCTCTCCTTCCCTCCCCCTCTCCCCCCCCTCCCTCCCTCTCCTTCCTCCCCCTCCCCCCTTCCTTCCTCTCCCCCCCTTCCCTTCCTCTCCCCCTTCCTTCCTCTCCCCCCCCCCCTTCCTCCCCTCCCTCCCTTTTCCCCCCCTTTCCCTCCCTCTCCTTCCTCTCCCTCCCTCCCCTTTCCCTCTCCCTCCCCCCTTCCTCTCCCCCCCCTTCCCTTTCCTCTCCCCCTTCCTTCCTCTCCCATCCCCCCTTTTCCCTTCCCCCCCCTTTCCTTCCCTCCCCCCTTCCTTCCTCTCCCACCTTCCTTCCTCTCCCCCTTTCCCTTTTCCTTCCCCTCCCTCTCCCCTCCCCCCCCCCTTCCTCTCCCCCCCCTCTCCCTTCCTTCCCTCCCCCTTTCCCCTTCCTCTCCCCCCCTTTTCCCTTCCTCTCCCCCTTCCTTCCTCTCCCCCCTTTCCCCTTTTCCTCTCCCTCCCTTTCCCCTCCTCCCCCTCCCTCCCTTCCTCTCCCCCCTTCCTTCCTCTCCCACCTTCCTTCCTCCCCCTTTCTTCCTTCCTCTCCCCCTTCCTTCCCTCCCCTTTCTTCCTTCCTCTCCCCCTTCCCTTTCCCTCCCCCCTTCCTTCCTCTCCCCCCCTTCCTCTCCCCCCCCCTTCCTTCCCCCCCCTTTCCTTCCCCCCCCCTTCCCTTCCTCCCCCCCTTCCTTCCTCTCCCCCCCCTTCCTTCCTCTCCCCCCCCTTTCCCCTCCCCCCCTTTCCCTTTCCCCTCTCCCCCTTCCTTCCTCTCCCCCTTTCCTTCCTCCCCCCTCCCTCTCCTTCCTCTCCCTCCCTCTCCCTCCCTCTCCCCTTCCCTTCTCTCCCCCCTTCCTTCCTCCCCTCCCCTCCTTCCTCTCCCTCCCCTCCTTCCTCTCCCTCCCTCTCCTTCCTCTCCCACCTTCCTTTCCCTCCCCTCCCTCCCTTCCTTCCCCCCCTCCTTCCTCCCCTCCCCCCTTCCCCCCTCCCCCTTCCTTCCTCTCCCCCCCTCTCCTTCCTCTCCCCCCCCTCTCCTTCCTCTCCCCCCCTCCCTTCCTCTCCCCCCCTTCCTTTTCCTCTCCCACCTTCCTTCCTCTCCCCCCTTTTCCCCCTCTCCCTCCTTCCTTCCCTTTCCTCTCCCCCACCTCCTTTCCCCCTCCCTCTCCCCTCCCTCTCCCTTCCTCCCCCCCTTCCTTCCTCTCCCCCTCTCCCCCCCTCTCCCACCTTCCTTCCTCTCCCTTTTCCCCTTCCTCTCCCTTTTTCCTTCCTCTCCCTCCTTCCTTCCTCCCCCCTCCTTCCTTCCCTCCCTCCTCCTCCTCCCCACCTTCCCTTTTTCCTCTCCCCCCTCCTTCCTCTCCCCTCCCCTCCTTCCTCTCCCCCCTCTCCTTCCTCTCCCTCCCTCTCCTTCCTCTCCCCCCTTCCTTCCCCCCTCCCCTTTCCTTTCCCTTCTCCCTCCCTCCCTTCCTTTTTTTCCCCCTCCCTCTCCCACCTTCCTTCCTCCCCCCCCTTCCTTCCTCTCCCACCTTCCTTCCTTCCTTCCTTCTCCCTCCCTCCTTTCCTCTCCCACCTTCCTTCCTCCCCCCTTCCTTCCTCCCCCACCTTCCTTCCCTCCCTCCCCTCCTTCCTCTCCCACCTTCCTTTCCCCCCCCTCCCTCTCCTTCCTCTCCCTCCCTCTCCTTCCTTCCCTCCCCTCCCCCCTTCCTTCCCTCCCAATTTCCCCCTTCCTCCTTCCCCCTTCCTTCCTCCCCTTCCCCCCCCCCCTTTTCCTTTCCCCCCTCCCTCCCCCCTCCCACCTTTCCTTCCTCTCCCCCCCCCTCCCTTCCTCTCCCTCCCCCCTTTTCCTTTCCCCCCCTCTCCTTTCCTCTCCCACCTTCCTTCCTCTCCCTCCCCTCCTTCCCTCTCCCATTTTTCCTTCCTCTCCCACCTTCCTTCCCTCCCCCTTTTTCCTCTTCCCACCTTCCTCCTCTCCCTCCTCTCCTTCCTCTCCCACCTTCCTTCCTCTCCCACCTTTCCTTCCTCCCCACCTTCCTTCCTCCCCCCTTCCTTCCCTCCCCCTTCCTTCCCCCCTCCCTCCTTCCTTCCTCTCCCCCTTCTTCCCTCTCCCCCCCCCCTTCCTTTCCTCTCCCCCTTCCTCCCTCCCTCCCTCCTTCCTCTCCCTCCCCCCCTTTCCTCTCCCCTTCCTTCCTCCCCCACCTTCCTTCCTCTCCCCCCTTTCCTTCCCCTCACCCCCCCTTCCTTCCTCTCCCACCCCCCTTTCCCTCCCCCCCTCTCCTTCCTCCCCCCCTCCCCTTTCCCTCCCCCCCCCCTCTCCTTCCTCTCCCTCCCTCCCTTCCTCTCCCCCCTCCCCCTCCCCCTCCCCCCCCTTCCCTTCCCCCCACCTTCCCCTTCCTCCCCCCCTTCCTTTCTCTCCCACCTTCCCCCCCTCTCCCACCTTTCCCCTTCCCTTTCCCTCCCTCTCCTTCCCCTCTCCCTTCCTCTCCTTCCTCTCCCCCCCCTCCTTCCTCTCCCCTCCCTCTCCTTCCTCTCCCTCCCTCTCCTTCCTCTCCCTCCCTCTCCTTCCTCCCCCCCCCCTCTCCCTTCCCTCCCTCCCCCCCCCCCCTTTTCCCCCTTTCCTCTCCCCCCTCCCCTTCCTCCCCCTCCCTCCCCCTTCCCTCCCCCCCCCTTCCCCCCCCCTTCCCTCTCCCTTCCTCTCCCAGTTTCCCTTCCTCTTTTTCTCCCTTCCTTTCTTTCCTTTTTTTTCCCCTTCCTTTTTTCTGCCTTCCCCTTTTTCCTTCCCTCATTCTCCTCATCCCTGAACATAATCACAGTGACGCTGAACATGGGTGAGCTCCTCCTCCCTTTCTTCCTCCTCCCCTTCTTCCTCCTCCCCCTCCCTCCCCCTTCTTCCTCCTCCCCCTCCCCCTCCTCCCCCCTCCTCCCCTATGGGGGTGTCGGGGAGGGTATGAAGATTTTCTCTCCTGGTTGTCCAGCCCTCCTGAATGTTGAAGGGACGGGCTCCTGTAGGTCTAGATATACTGAAGAACATTGGAAGACTTCCCTCATGGCAGCTGCTTTCCAGTCATTGACTTCAGGCTGAATCCATAGGATTTGGGAAGCCAGTCAACAGCATTTTCAGAGGATGTTTGTGTCAGAGCTAGGTGAGTCAGTAATCTGGATCGGCCATGTCTGGACACCTGATGGCCATGTGTTGGGTCAATGGTTCTCTCTAGGTAGGATGATGGTTCTGGGGGGGAGCACTATTCCAGTGTGAGGGATCTTCCTCCAGGCGATGACCAGGTGGGGGGGGGGGAATATTCCTCCAGGTGGGGTGGATGATGACCAGGTGGGGGGGGGGATCTTCCTCCAGGTGATGACCAGGTGAGGGGGGGATCTTCCTCCAGGTGATGCCCAGGTTGGAGGGGGGATCTTCCTCCAGCTGATGACCGGGGGAGAGGGGGGGGCGATCTTCCTCAAGGTGATGACCGGGGGGGGGAGCAAACTTCTAGGGGATGACCGGGGGGGGGGCACTCTCTTCCTCCGGGTGTCGACCATTGGGGGGGGGGTGGTGAGCTTTCCTCCAGGTGATGACCGGGGGGGGGGGGCGAGCTTCTCCAGGTGATGACGGGGGGGGGGCGAGCTTCCTCCAGGTGATGACTGGGGGGGGGGGCGAGCTTCCTCCAGGTGATGACTGGGGGGGGGCGAGCTTCCTCCAGGTGATGACTGGGGGGGGGGCGAGCTTCCTCCAGGTGATGACTGGGGGGGGGGGCGAGCTTCCTCCAGGTGATGACTGGGGGGGGGCGAGCTTCCTCCAGGTGATGACTGGGGGGGGGGGCACGAGCTTCCTCCAGGTGTTGACTGGGGGGGGTGAGCTTCCAGCGTGAGGGATACTCCTCCAAATGATGACCAGGGGGCGTTCTTCCTCCAGGTAATAACCCGGGGGGGGGGGGGTGATATTCCTGCAGGTAATGACCGGGGGGGAGAGCTTCCCATGTGATGACCAGGGGGGAGCTCTTCCAGTGTGAGGGATCTTTCTCCATGGGGCGCTCTTCCAGTGTGAGGGATCATTTTCCATGGTGCGCTCTTCCAGTGTGAGGGATCTTTCTCCATGGGGCGCTCTTCCAGTGTGAGGGATCTTTCTCCATGGGGCGCTCTTCCAGTGTGAGGATCTTTCTCCATGGGGCGCTCTTCCAGTGTGAGGGATCTTTCTCCATGGGGCGCTCTTCCAGTGTGAGGGATCTTTCTCCATGGGGCGTGTGAGGATCTCTTCCAGTGTGAGGGATCTTTCTCCATGGGGTGCTCTTCCATGTGAGGGATCTTTCTCCATGGGGCGCGCTCTTCCAGTGTGAGGGATCATTTTCCATGGGGCGCTCTTCCAGTGTGAGGGATCATTTTCCATGGGGTGCTCTTCCAGTGTGAGGGATCTTTCTCCATGGGGCGCTCTTCCAGTGTGAGGGATCATTTTCCATGGGGCGCTCTTCTAGTGTGAGGGAACATTTTCCATGGGGCGCTCTTCCAGTGTGAGGGATCATTTTCCATGGGGCGCTCTTCCAGTGTGAGGGATCTTTCTCCATGGGGCGCTCTTCCAGTGTGAGGGATCTTTCTCCATGGGGCGCTCTTCCAGTGTGAGGGATCTTTCTCCATGGGGCGCTCGTCCAGTGTGAGGGATCTCTCTCCATGGGGCGCTCTCCTCTCCTGTCCAGTGCTGATTTTGTCTCCTCCTCTTTCCAGAGAAGTACAACTTTCTGGGGATCTCTATTGTGGGGCAGAGCAACGAGCGCGGGGATGGAGGAATCTACATCGGTTCCATCATGAAGGGAGGAGCAGTAGCAGCTGCAGACGGGAGGATTGAGCCTGGAGACATGTTACTGCAGGTAAGTGATCCTCTGTATTGCGGTCCATCCCATCGATTACATACGTTCCTGCAGGTAAGTGATCCTCTGTATTGCGGTCCATCCCATCGATTACATACGTTCCTGCAGGTAAGTGATCCTCTGTATTGCGGTCCATCCCATCGATTACATACGTTCCTGCAGGTAAGTGATCCTCTGTATTGCGGTCCATCCCATCGATTACATACGTTCCTGCAGAGCATTGCTCCTGTAAAGGGAGCTGATATGAAATGACGTTGGCTGTCAGCGCAGACCTGCTGGAGCCTCTCGACATTGGAATGTGATGATAGATGGGATTGCAGCACTTTGCTTTCTTGGAGGAAATCCTGCTTTGTGCTTCTTCCAGTGCTGCTGACAGAAGAACCCAGGCATTGGAGCATATGGTGTCTGTGGAAGGGCTGATCACCTCTATCCCCCTGACGATGTCCTCTTTCCCCGTTGTCTCAGGTCAGCTCACCTCTGGCCCACAAGCACTGCCGGACGATGTCCTCTTTCCCCATTGTCCTGGATCAGGGTCACATCTGTCCCACAAACACTGCCTGAGGATGTCCTCTTTCCCCATTGTCCTGGGTCAGTGGGTCAGGGTCACCTCTGTCCCACGAACACTGCCTGACGATGTCCTCTTTCCCCATTGTCCCGGGCCAGGGTCACCTCTGTCCCACAAGCACTGCCTGACCATGTCCGCTTCCCCCATTGTCCCAGGCCGGGGTCACCTCTGTCCCACGAACACTGCCTATGTCCTCTTTCCCCATTGTCCCGGGCAAGGGTCACCTCTGTCCCACAAGCACTGCCTGACGATGTCCTCTTTCCCCGTTGTCCCGGGCCAGGGTCACCTCTGGCCCACAAACCTTGTCTGACCATGTCCCCTTCCCCCATTGTCCCAGGCCGGGGTCACCTCTGTCCCACAAACCTTGTCTGACCATGTCCCCTTCCCCCATTGTCCCAGGCTGGGGTCACCTCTGTCCCACAAATCTTGTCTGACCATGTCCCCTTCCCCCATTGTCCCAGGCCGGGGTCACCTCTGTCCCACAAACCTTGTCTGACCATGTCCCCTTCCCCCATTGTCCCAATCCAGGGTCACCTCTGTCCCACAAACCTTGTCTGACCATGTCCCCCTTCCCCCATTGTCCCAATCCAGGGTCACCTCTGTCCCACAAACCTTGTCTGACCATGTCCCCTTCCCCCATTGTCCCAGGCCAGGGTCACCTCTGTCCCACAAACCTTGTCTGACCATGTCCCCTTCCCCCATTGTCCCAGGCCAGGGTCACCTCTGTCCCACAAACCTTGTCTGACCATGTCCCCTCCCCCCCCCATTGTCCCAGGCCAGGGTCACTTCTGTCCCACAAACCTTGTCTGACCATGTCCCCTTCCCCCATTGTCCCAGGCCAGGGTCACTTCTGTCCCACAAACCTTGTCTGAATATGTCCCCTTCCCCCATTGTCCCAGGGCCAGGGTCACCTCTGTCCCACAAACCTTGTCTGACCATGTCCCCTTCCCCCCATTGTCCCAGGCCAGGGTCACTTCTGTCCCACAAACCTTGTCTGACCATGTCCCCTTCCCCCATTGTCCCAGGCCAGGGTCACTTCTGTCCCACAAACCTTGTCTGACCATGTCCCCTTCCCCCATTGTCCCAGGCCAGGGTCACCTCTGGCCTACAAACCTTGTCTGACCATGTCCCCTTCCCCCATTGTCCCAGGCCGGGGTCACCTCTGGCCCACAAACCTTGTCTGACCATGTCCCCTTCCCCCATTGTCCCAGGCCAGGGTCACCTCTGTCCCACAAACCTTGTCTGACCATGTCCCCTTCCCCTATGGTCCCAGGCCAGGGTCACCTCTGTCCCACAAACCTTGTCTGACCATGTCCCCTTCCCCTATGGTCCCAGGCCAGGGTCACTTCTGTCCCACAAACCTTGTCTGACCATGTCCCCTTCCCCTATGGTCCCAGGCCAGGGTCACCTCTGTCCCACAAACCTTGTCTGACCATGTCCCCTATGGTCCCAGGCCAGGGTCACCTCTGGCCCACAAACCTTGTGTGACCATGTCCCCTATGGTCCCAGGCCAGGGTCACCTCTGGCCCACAAACCTTGTGTGACCATGTCCCCTATGGTCCCAGGCCAGGGTCACCTCTGGCCTACAAACACTCTTCACATTTGATCTTTCTCCTGCTGTACTTTTACTGGTACATTCCTGCTTGTTGTCTTGCAGGTCAATGATATAAACTTTGAGAATATGAGCAACGATGATGCCGTTCGGGTCCTAAGAGAAATTGTCCATAAACCGGGGTAAGTTGGTGGAGACCAGGCGGGTGAAAAGTGGACCTGTTTATGGCACCCCACAGGTACTCCAGGAGTTCATGGTGCCCAATATGTAATTCCTCTTCTCTGCCTCTCTTCCAGTCCAATCGTTCTGACTGTGGCGAAATGCTGGGACCCCTCCCCCCAAGGTTACTTCACTCTTCCCCGCAGTAGGTGTCATGAATGGTGGTGTCTGGCTGTTGTATATCCCTCTTCTGTCTGCTACTAATGAATATCTCTGTGTGTGTAGATGAGCCCATCCAGCCTATTGACCCGGCTGCCTGGGTGTCGCACTCCGCAGCGATGAGCGGCTCCTACCCGGTGTATCCTGGTAGTGCTTCCATGAGCAGCATGACTTCCAGCACCTCTGTGACCGAAACCGAGTGTGAGTGACAGATTGGGGGCTCGTCCGGGATGGTCAGTGCATGTTCTCATTTACATGGTGTGCGCTCACTCCGCCTTCTTCTTTTGTAGTGTCCCACGCTCTCCCACCAGTGTCCCTCTTCAGTCTGTCCATACACACAGATCTGGCATCTGTAGTAAGGGCCATGGCTTCTCCAGAATCGGGCCTTGAAGTCAGAGACCGAATGTGGCTGAAGATTACCATTCCCAATGCCTTCCTGGGTAAGATTCTGAGCATCTCTGTCCTGTGTGTGTCATGTCCCGGCGCGCGTGGGCCTCGGGGTCATTGTGGGGTGCGCGCGTGGGCCTCGGGGTCATTGTGCGGTGCGCGCGCGGGCCTCGGGGTCATTGTGCGGTGCGCGCGTGGGCCTCGGGGTCATTGTGCGGTGCGCGCGTGGGCCTCGGGGTCATTGTGCGGTGCGCGCGTGGGCCTCGGGGTCATTGTGCGGTGCGCGCGCGTGGGCCTCGGGGTCATTGTGCGGTGCGCGCGCGCGGGGCCTCGGGGTCATTGTGCGGTGCGCGCGCGGGCCTCGGGGTCACTGTGGGGTGCGCGCGTGGGCCTCGGGGTCATTGTCCACCGCATGCGTGGGCCTTGCGCACAATTCACCACGCAGTATTTTGCCACATCCGAGTATGTGGTAGGATACCGCACAGCATTAAAAAAGAAAAACTGCTACTAACATTCCGCAGGAGTGATTTGATGAAGTCATGCGGTATTTTGTTAGTGACAACCATCCGGTAATGTTTCAGCTGCCAGCAGGATTCCCCACTAACACCTGAATGTAAAAGAATTCCCAGCAATTTTAAAAAATGGCATGGGGTCCCCCCTCCCATCCATACCAAGCCCTTTGGGTCTGGTGTGGTTTTAAAGGGGAACTCTCATGTCAAAATTAAAAAAAAAAAAATAACGTGGGGGGGGGGTCCCCGCAAAATCCATACCAGACCTGAAGGGCACGTCATTTTTGTATAAATTTTTGCAATTGCCGGCAATTCTTTTACACTCCGCTGTCAGGTGCCAGTTTTTAAATGTAATTACCGCTTGTTTTTTTTTTTTTTTTCTTCACTATACAGTAGTTCAGAGATTCAGCAACCACTCCCCCCCCCCCCCCCCCCCCCCAACCCCCCTTCCCCCCCCAGCTAAAAGAGTTTCTTTTAGTTTATTTCCCCAAGTTAAAAGATACAAAGTTTCCTGTAACTCCGGGGAAAGTGACAGCTAATGTGAACTATAGTGAAGAAAAAAAGAAAGACGGCATTTGAGAATCGGCGCCGACATACACTTCGTATTGCAAAGAAAATTAGTAAAAAATTCGTAAAGCGAGGCGTTGGTACCCCGAGGTGCACCTGTATTATAGAAGAGGATTTTGGGACGAGTAGGGTGAGGGGACTGGCTGGCACAGAGGTGATTGGATGAGGAGCTGGGGGTGGTGCATGGTAAGCAGGCACCCCACAGATTAGGGGGATATAATATCAAGGTGATTGGATGAGGAGCTTTAGGAAGTTGCGGGGGGGGGGCTCAGGGGGTTACCAAGCCACTTGGAATCCCTGTGTGGGGTCGTCGGCTCTTCCAGGAATTTCCCAAGTTGCTGTATGTCATGTACTCTGTAATGAGAGAGCGGGGGGAGGGGCGTCACTCATACAATTCTGTACGGATCTGGGGGGGGGATGGTGACAGAGTTTCTGGTCATCTCGGCATTCTGACACTCCTCTCCTTCATGACGCTCCTCCTCTCCTTCATGACGCGCCTCCTCTCCTTCATGACGCGCCTCCTGACCGCACTCCCCTTCATGACGCGCCTCCTCCCCTTCATGACGCGCCTCCTCCCCTTCATGACGCGCCTCCTCTCCTTCATGACGCGCCTCCTCTCCTTCATGACGCGCCTCCTCTCCTTCATGACGCGCCTCCTCTCCTTCATGACGCGCCTCCTCCCCTTCATGACGCGCCTCCTCCTCCTCTCCTTCATGACGCGCCTCCCTCCCCTTCATGACGCGCCTCCTCTCCTTCGTGACGCGCCTCCTCTCCTTCGTGACGCGCCTCCTCTCCTTCGTGACGCGCCTCCTCCTCCTCCTCTCCTTCGTGACGCGCCTCCTCCTCCTCCTCTCCTTCGTGACGCGCCTCCTCCTCCTCCTCTCCTTCGTGACGCGCCTCCTCCTCCTCTCCTTCGTGACCCGCCTCCTCCCCTCCCTTATGACGCCCCTCCTCCTCCTCTCCTTCGTGACGCGCCTCCTCTCCTTCGTGACGCGCCTCCTCTCCTTCGTGACGCGCCTCCTCTCCTTCGTGACGCGCCTCCTCTCCTTCGTGACGCGCCTCCTCTCCTTCGTGACGCGCCTCCTCCTCCTCCTCCTCCTTCGTGACGCGCCTCCTCCTCCTTCGTGACGCGCCTCCTCCTCCTCCTTCGTGACGCGCCTCCTCCTCCTCCTCTCCTTCGTGACGCGCCTCCTCCTCTCCTTCGTGACGCGCCTCCTCCTCTCCTTCGTGACGCGCCTCCTCCTCCTCCTCTCCTTCGTGACGCGCCTCCTCCTCCTCCTCTCCTTCGTGACCCGCCTCCTCCTCCCCTCCCTTATGACGCCCCTCCTCCTCCCCCCCCCCCCCCCCTCCATGACGCGCCTCCCCCCCCCCCCCCCCCCCCCCTTCAAGACGCGCCTCCTCCCCCCCCCCCCTTCATGACGCGCCTCCCCCCCCCCCCCCTCCTTCATGACGCGCCTCCTCCCCTCCCCCCCCCCCCTCCTTCACGATGTGCCTCCCCCCTCTCCTCCTTCACGACGCGCCTCCTACCCCTCCCCCCCCCCCCCTCCTTCACGACGCGCCCCCCCCGACCCCCCCCCCCTCCTTCATGACGCGCCTCCCCCCCCCCCCCCCTCCTTCACGACGCGCCTCCTCCCCCCCCCCCCCCCCCCCTTCATGACGCGCCTCCTCCTCCCCCCCCCTCCTTCACGACGCGCCTCCTCCCCCCCCCCCCCCCCCTTCACGATGCGCCTCCCCCCCTCTCCTCCTTCACGACACGACGCGCCTCCTACCCCCCCCTCCTTCACGACGCGCCTCCTCCTCCTCTCCTTCATGATGCGCCTCCTCCTCTCCTTTAGGCTCCGATGTGGTGGATTGGTTGTATCACCATGTTGAGGGATTCCAGGACCGGCGAGAGGCTCGTAAGTTTGCCAGCAATTTACTGAAAGCGGGATTCATCCGGCACACGGTCAACAAGATCACCTTCTCAGAGCAATGTTACTACATCTTCGGGGACCTCTCGGGATGTGAGAACTGTGAGTATCTGATGGGAGTCCTTCAGACACAACGAGTCCCTCCCGAGATAATCGTCTGGTTCTCTTCTTCCCACATGACTAATCAATCCCCAGTAATCATTTACAGACACGGCTAATCAATCACTAATCATTTACAGACACGGCTAATCAATCACTAATCATTTACAGACATGGCTAATCAATCACTAATCATTTACAGACACTGCTAATCAACCCCAGTAATCATTTACAGACACGGCTAATCAATCACTAATGATTTACAGACATGGCTAATCAATCACTAATCATTTACAGACATGGCTAATCAATCACTAATCATTTACAGACACTGCTAATCAACCCCAGTAATCATTTACAGACATGGCTAATCAATCACTAATCATTTACAGACACGGCTAATCAATCCCCAATAATCATTTACAGACACGGCTAATCAATCCCCAATAATCATTTACAGAAACGGCTGATCAATGTCCAATAATTTACAGACTCGGCTGATCAATCCCCAGTAATCATTTACAGACTCGGCTGATCAATCCCCAATAATCATTTACAGACACGGCTAATCAATCAGTAATCATTTACAGACGCGGCTAATCAATCAGTAATCATTTACAGACATGGCTAATCAATCACTAATCATTTACAGACACGACTGATCACTAATCATTTACAGACACGGCTAATCAATCCCCAATAATCGTTTACAGACACGGCTAATCAATCCCCAATAATCATTTACAGACACGGCTAATCAATCACTAATCATTTACAGACACGGCTAATCAATCCCCAGTAATCATTTACAGACACGGCTGATCAATCACTAATCATTTACAGACACGGCTAATCAATCACTAATCATTTACAGACACTGCTAATCAATCACTAATCATTTACAGACACGGCTGATCAATCCCCAGTAATCATTTACAGACACGGCTGATCAATCCCCAATAATCATTTACAGACACGGCTGATCAATCCCCAATAATCATTTACAGACACGGCTAATCAATCAGTAATCATTTACAGACACGGCTAATCAATCAGTAATCATTTACAGGCACGGCTAATCAATCACTAATCATTTACAGACACGACTGATCACTAATCATTTACAGACATGGCTGATCAACCCCCAGTAATCATTTACAGACATGACTAATCAATCACTAATCATTTACAGCCACGGCTGATCACTAATCGTTTACAGACACGGCTAATCAATCCCCAATAATCATTTACAGACACGGTTAATCAATCACTAATCATTTACAGACATGGCTAATCAACCCCCAGTAATCATTTACAGACACGGCTAATCAATCCCCAGTAATCATTTACAGACACGGCTGATCAATCACTAATCATTTACAGACACGGCTAATCAATCCCCAGTAATCATTTACAGACACGGCTAATCAATCCCCAGTAATCATTTACAGACACGGCTAATCAATCCCCAGTAATCATTTACAGACACGGCTGATCAATCACTAATCATTTACAGACACGGCTAATCAATCCCCAGTAATCATTTACAGACACGGCTAATCAATCACTAATCATTTACAGACACGGCTAATCAATCACTAATCATTTACAGACACGGCTAATCAATCACTAATCATTTACAGACACGGCTGATCAATCCCCAGTAATCATTTACAGACACTGCTAATCAATCACTAATCATTTACAGACACGGCTAATCAACCCCAGTAATCATTTACAGACACTGCTAATCAATCCCCAGTAATCATTTACAGACACGACTAATCAATCACTAATCATTTACAGACACGGCTAATCAATCACTAATCATTTACAGACACTGCTAATCAACCCCAGTAATCATTTACAGACACGGCTAATCAACCCCAGTAATCATTTACAGACACTGCTAATCAATCACTAATCATTTACAGACACGGCTAATCAATCCCCAGTAATCATTTACAGACACTGCTAATCAATCACTAATCATTTACAGACACGGCTAATCAATCCCCAGTAATCATTTACAGACACTGCTAATCAATCACTAATCATTTACAGACACGGCTGATCAATCCCCAATAATCATTTACAGACACGGCTGATCAATCCCCAGTAATCATTTACAGACACGGCTGATCAATCCCCAATAATTCCAGGCATGAATAATCTCCAATAATTTCCAGACACGACTAATCAATCTCCAATAATCATTTTCAGACATGGCTAATCTATCGCTGAATGACAACGATGGATCCAGCGGTGCCTCTGATCAGGACACTCTGGCTCCTCTTCCTCTCCCTGGAGCGTCCCCTTGGCCTCTTCTCCCCACCTTCTCCTATCAGTATCCGGCTCCTCACCCGTACAGCACACAACCTCCGGCCTATCATGAGCTCTCCTCCTACAGCTACGGCCTGGGCAGTGCCGGGAGCCAGCACAGCGAAGGTGAGTGTGGGTGCCGGCCACTCCTGACCCCAGCCGGGTCCTTCATCCATTCTCACACTCTCTTACCGAGGAATCCTTAGGGAGCCCCTTTGGGGCAGATTCTGGGAGGGATCTGATTGCTGTTTAGGAAGACATTCCATGGTGGGCTGTGGAGACCTTCACTGCCCTTTGGGGCGGATTCTGGGAGGGATCTGATTGCTGTTTAGGAAGAGACTCCATGGTGGGCTGTGGAGGCCTTCACTGCCCTTTGGGGCGGATTCTGGGAGGGATCTGATTGCTGTTTAGGAAGACATTCCATGGTGGGCTGTGGAGGCCTTCACTGCCCTTTGGGGCAGATTCTGGGAGGGATCTGATTGCTGTTTAGGAAGACATTCCATGGTGGGCTGTGGAGGCCTTCACTGCCCTTTGGGGCGGATTCTGGGAGGGATCTGATTGCTGTTTAGGAAGACATTCCATGGTGGGCTGTGGAGGCCTTCACTGCCCTTTGGGGCGGATTCTGGGAGGGATCTGATTGCTGTTTAGGAAGAGACTCCATGGTGGGCTGTGGAGGCCTTCACTGCCCTTTGGGGTGGATTCTGGGAGGGATCTGATTGCTGTTTAGGAAGACATTCCATGGTGGGCTGTGGAGGCCTTCACTGCCCTTTGGTGCAGATTCTGGGAGGGATCTGATTGCTGTTTAGGAAGAGACTCCATGGGGGACTTTGGCTGCCCTTTTGTTGGACTCTGGGAGGGTTCTTGTTGCCTTTCTGGAAGAGGTTTTGGGGGTGGGGTGCTCTAGCTGCCTATTTGGGAAGGAGGCAGGGGGGTTAAACAGCTGGGGGGAGGGGGGCTCTTGGACATCCTTTTGGGGGACCCTCTGGGAAGGGTTGAATGGCCTTTTCTAGGACCCTGGGAAGGATGGGGGGGGGGGGGGTTGAACAGCCTTTAGGGGACACTTTGGGAAGGAGGCGGGGGGGGTTCAATGGGTTTTTTGTAGGACTCTGGGAAGGAGGGGGGGGGGGGGTAAATGTTCTTTTTGGGGACACTGTGGGAAGATGGTGGGGAAGTAATGGCTATCTGTAGGACTCTGGGAAGGAGGGGGTGTGTTGAAACTCTTTTTGGGGGTCACTGGGAAGGGGGGGGGGGGTGTTGAAAGGCCTTTTGTAGGACTATGGGAAGGAGGGGGTGTGTTGAAACTCTTTTTGGGGGTCACTGGGAAGGGTGTGGGTTGTTGAACAGCCTTTAAGGGGACACTTTTGGAAGGAGGCGTGGGGGTTCAATAGCATTTTGTAGGACTCTGGGAAGGAGGGGGGGGGTGTTGAAAGATCTTTTGGGGGACACTGGGAAACTGGGTGGGTTGAATGGCCTTTTGGGGAAGAGGGTGGGGAATTAATGGCCTTTTGTAGTAGGACTCTGGGAAGGAGGGGGCGGGTTGAATGGCCATTTGGGGGACAATGGGAGGGGGGGTGTTGAATTGTCTTTTGGGGGACACTGGGGAAGGGGGTGGGTTGAATTACCTTTTGTAGGACTCTGGGAAGGGGGGGGGGGGGGAGGGTGTTGAAAGGCCTTTAGGGGGACATTGTGGGAAGGGGGGGTTGAAGAGGATTTTGGGGTCACTCTGGGGCAGAGTTCCGCCTTTTAGTTGTGTAATTGTGGGAAGGGGGGGTTGAACATTTTGGGGTCCCTCTGGGGCGGAGTTCTGCCCTTTAGTTGTGTAATTGTGGGAAGGGGGGGTTGAACATTTTGGGGCCCCTCTGGGGCGGAGTTCTGCCCTTTAGTTGTGTAATTGTGGGAAGGGGGGGGGGGGGGGGGGGGTTGAACATTTTGGGGTCCCTCTGGGGCAGAGTTCTGCCCTTTAGTTGTGTAATTGTGGGAAGGGGGGGTTGAACATTTTGGGGTCCCTCTGGGGCGGAGTTCTGCCCTTTAGTTGTGTAATTGTGGGAAGGGGGGGTTGAACATTTTGGGGTCCCTCTGGGGCGGAGTTCTGCCCTTTAGTTGTGTAATTGTGGGAAGGGGGGGTTGAACATTTTGGGGTCCCTCTGGGGCGGAGTTCTGCCCTTAGTTGTGGGCAGCAGATTTGTGGTGGTTGTGGATTCTACGGTTCCATCTTTCTTGGTTCCAGGGAGCAGAAGCAGTGGATCTACTCGTAGTGATGGTGGCCGTGGAGTGCAGAAAGAAGAGCGATCCGGAGGCGGTGGTGGAGACTCCAAGTCGGGATCTGGCAGCGAGTCGGAATACTCCACACGTAGCAGCGTGAGGAGGGGTGGAGCAGAGGCGGGTCCACCTAGCGAACGTTCTGCTCGTTCTCAGCCGTCTCACCACCCTCATCACCCCTCCTCCATCCATTCTTACCCAGCTCCGGGTGTCCCCCTCTCCTACAACCCCATGATGTTGATGATGATGCCACCACCTCCACTTCCTCCACCCTCGTCTTGTCCTCCTTCCTCATCCGTTCCCCCTGGTGCTCCTCCCCTCGTCCGTGACCTCGCATCGGTTCCTCCTGAGCTGACTGCCAGCCGCCAATCGTTTCACATGGCCATGGGCAACCCTAGTGAATTCTTTGTTGATGTCATGTGACGTTGTCATGGATCCGTGTCATCTGATGCTGAGCCCGCTCCTCTCTATAGTATTATGGTGTCGCCGATTTAGAGTGGCGCATGCTCCCTACATTGCCGTTATTGTGAGGTCTACAATGGGGAACTGGCCTGAAGGAAACGTTCTGACTGACCAATTACTGATCCCCGGGCCCATCTCTGGCCTACAAGGAGGATGTCCCCATGAGAAGCTCCTCCCTCCTAGCAAGCATCTCAGTTGGTTTCCAGGTACTCCATAGTTGATGCTGGACGCTCTCCTAAGATCCCGGGAGGGGGGGGGGTTTGGTTTGGGATTTGTTCCCGGTATGTGAGCACAATGCGGTCTGTCCTCCAGCTGGACATCCCGGAATATTCTGTGACAGACACTAATTGTAGCAGCTTTATCCTATGTACACGCACACGTATGTACTCTAGAACAGACGGTACTTGCGCCCACTTTGGTGCAGTTATTATGAAGTATTTTTAACCCCATCCTCCATTTTAGTAGTTTGTTTTGCCCATTTCAGAGCTTTTGTATCATGATGGAATAACGTTGAGACTTTCTTTCCCCGACGGGGAGCTGTACGAATTTATATTGCCTATGTTACTGACATTTTTTTTACATATATCCAATGCTGTGGCTGTGAACTTGATCGTCCTTCCGATGACGTGACCATGGAAGAGACGAGCGTGTGACCCTGAGGATTACGGAGGTTGAGTTTGACTTCTGGAGTCCCAGGGAATAAGTGCCTCGATTACTTGCCTTTTATTGTATTTATTACCTTTTTTAGTGTATAAACTCAAAAATAAAAAAATGTTTTATAAATTGTTGGACGGGTCTTGATTTGGAAGAGTGTATCAGTATGGTTGTGCAGGCCTTCTTAGGCATCGGTACGGTTGTGCAGGCCTTCTTAGGCATCGGTACGGTTGTGCAGGCCTTCTTAGGCATCGGTACGGTTGTGCAGGCCTTCTTAGGCATCGGTACGGTTGTGCAGGCCTTCTTAGGCATCGGTATGGTTGTGCAGGCCTTCTTAGGCATCGGTATGGTTGTGCAGGCCTTCTTAGGCATCGGTACGGTTGTGCAGGCCGCCTTAGGCATCAGTATGGTTGTGCAGGCCGCCTTAGGCATCGGTACGGTTGTGCAGGCCTTCTTAGGCATCGGTACGGTTGTGCAGGCCTTCTTAGGCATCGGTACGGTTGTGCAGGCCGCCTTAGGCGTCGGTACGGTTGTGCAGGCCGCCTTAGGCGTCGGTACGGTTGTGCAGGCCGCCTTAGGCGTCGGTACGGTTGTGCAGGCCGCCTTAGGCGTCGGTACGGTTGTGCAGGCCGCCTTAGGCGTCGGTACGGTTGTGCAGGCCGCCTTAGGCGTCTATACGGTTGTGCAGGCCGCCTTAGGCGTCTGTACGGTTGTGCTGGCAGCCTTAGGCGTCGGTACGGTTGTGCAGGTCTTCTTAGGCATCGGTATAGTGGCGTTGGCCACCTTGGGCATCGGTATGGTGGCCTAGGCCATCTTCGGCATCGGTATGGTGGCGTAAGGCCGCCTTGGGCATCGGTATGACTGTGTAGGCCGCCTTAAGCAAGGCCACCTACGCAATTATACCGATGCCTAAGAAGGCCTAAACAAATCATACAGATGGCTATCAGTATGGTCGTGTAGACGTTGTTGCCCAGGTCCTGCACAATCGTACCGATACCCAACAAGGCCTAAACAATCATACAATACTTATCACATGATTGTGTAGGCTTTGTTAATCATCGGCACGATTGTGTAGGATTCGTTGAGCATTGGTATGATTGTTTAGGCTTCGGTATGACAGCAAGGGCCTGGTTAGGTATTGGTATGATTATGTAGGCCTTGTTGCCCCTCACTACGATTGTGAATCCTGGTTAGGCATCAGTATGGTTGTGTAGGCTTCATTAGGCAATGGTATGATTTTAAAGGCTTTGTTAATCATCTGTATGATTGTGTAGACTTCATTGGCCCTTGGCATGGTTGTGTAGGCTTTGTTGGCCCTCGGTATGGTTGTGTAGGCTTTGTTGGCCCTCGGTATGGTTGTGTAGGCTTCGTTGGCCCTCGGTATAGGCTTCGGTATGGTTGTGTAGGCTTCGTTGGCCCTCGGTATGGTTGTGTAGGCTTCGTTGGCCCTCGGTATGGTTGTGTAGGCTTCGTTGGCCCTCGGTATGGTTGTGTAGGCTTCGTTGGCCCTCGGTATGGTTGTGTAGGCTTCGTTGGCCCTCGGTATGGTTGTGTAGGCTTCGTTGGCCCTCGGTATGGTTGTGTAGGCTTCGTTGGCCCTCGGTATGGTTGTGTAGGCTTCGTTGGCCCTCGGTATGGTTGTGTAGGCTTCGTTGGCCCTCGGTATGGTTGTGCAGGCCTTGTTTGCCCACCTTTGATTTGTGTAGACCACCTTAGGCATGAGTATGACTGAAAAGGCCTGGTTAGGCGTCGGTGTGATTGTGTAGGCCTGGGTAGGCGTCGGCGTGATTGTGTAGGCCTGGCTAGGCGTCGGCGTGATTGTTTAGTCCTGGTTAGGCGTCGGCGTGATTGTGTAGGCCTGGTTAGGTGTCGGCGTGATTGTGAAGGCCTGGTTAGGCGTCGGCGTGATTGTGAAGGCCTGGTTAGGCGTCGGCGTGATTGTGAAGGCCTGGTTAGGCGTCGGCGTGATTGTGAAGGCCTGGTTAGGCGTCGGCGTGATTGTGAAGGCCTGGTTAGGCGTCGGCGTGATTGTGTAGGCCTGGCTAGGCGTCGGCGTGATTGTGTAGGCCTGGCTAGGCGTCGGCGTGATTGTGTAGGCCTGGCTAGGCGTCGGCGTGATTGTGTAGGCCTGGCTAGGCGTCGGCGTGATTGTGTAGGCCTGGCTAGGCGTCGGCGTGATTGTGTAGGCCTTGTTAATCATTGGTATGAGTCTTGTCAGGAATCTGCATGATTACCAAACCTTGTCTGACAATAAGTTGTCTTCTGGAATCTGTGCTTTCAGTCTGTGCAGTCATCCAGTGTGAGACTTCCTGTCATAAAGACCACTCCCTGCTGCCCTCTCTCCTTGTACAGGGGGACTGGGTCTTTTCTCTGCCTCCTGCAGGCAGCCTGTAGTGGGTGGAGTCTGCTGGTCTCTCCCACAGCTTTGTTGTCTGCACAGACTGCATACCACCCAGTGATGTCACCTGCTACTTTAACAAGGTAATATCTGGGTTGATTTATAACCTCTGTAGCTATTGGTGCACACAAAATGGATTGATTTCCTTTGTGGCTATTGGAGTAAAATCCAGAGTTTTATATTTTTTGTCAATTGAGGGACACAGGAAGACTTGTTGTTTTGGGTTATACTGCTGCCTACAGGATGCCGGGACACTGGCAGTCAGCACAGCATAACAACCTACTACCAGCATGCCTCTGTGTCCTAGGAGGAGGGATTTCTCTTCAGCTCTGCTGGGAAAAATCTTCAATCAAGGTCCTTCACCACATAGGTGCCATTGTAGAGTTTGGATCAAGCAGTGATGTGGATCAGCCCTGCTGAAGCTTTGGAGTACTATGTCCAGACCCTGCTGGACTGGCCATGGCAGGGATGGCCTGAAACTGACCTTCTGGTACTGGGCTCCTCAGTCTCCATCCAGACCCTGTTCTGGTTACCAGTGAGCTGTAGGAGCTTTCTAGGTCCATAGCCCTTGGCATTGCCTGCCCTGTCTCTGAAGACTCCGGTGAGTAGACCAATCATACTGAGCACTGTGAGCGCCCTACTGCTCGAATTGCTGGGTGCCTTTTAAACTCTCACTTGATGCGGGTTTCTACCTTGGAAGGAGATCACCCAAAAGATGACATGGCTGGGGGTTGACTTACATGTGCTCCATGCTCTTTCCTGCTATTCATCAGTGAACAACCATCCCTACAAGCTGCTCCTGCTTTGCAAAGAGCCATGTGGACCTCACATCTCCTGTCTATTCCTGCAGCTCATATAGTGAGTTGTCACTTCTGGTCATCTGACCCCACACCTACTAGAGTACCTGAGTCCTTACCTTGCACCCTAAGCTGCATTGCTTCACCGCCACCTGGTTGCATCATGTCTGATTCTAAACCGGCAGCCCCGGCTCACTCAACTCATGGCTCTAGTGCTGCTTGCAGCAAACCATATCTGCAGCTGGAATGGGCTAGTCCTGTGCTCCTGATGTCCTTATGAAGGACTCCTTAGAGAAGAGGTGGCCACACCTTAGGAGTTTATCAGGTTTTTACTTCTGTCATGCGTTACTTTATGGCCCAAAGTGATGATTGCTGACTCTGAAGGCAGAGACAAAGCATAGTCCTGTTCCTTTGTGTCTTGCTGGTTCCTTCTGGATGAACTTGCCACCAATGACTCGCAATCTTTCCCAGTCTGAGGGACGTTTGGTGGTATACATCCCTTATGAAGCAACAGGCTGATCCTCCAACTTTCTGTTCTTCTGCACCAAGTCTTCCTTTATGGATACCTGGAACCTTCTGTTGGTTCCTCCCAAACACTTCTCCTTGTATGCATTGAAGAGGACACTTCCAGATCCACATATGGGGCAGACCAATTATTATTTATTTTTCACAATATGTCCCATCTTCACCATCCCAGTAGAAGTATCACCTCTCAAGGACCACCCTCCTGAGCAGAGCTCTGTCTTCCCTGGTGGGACCTGCTCTTTGGTCTATTCTAGCTGTAGCCTTGATGCTTTAAGATGAGCCCTTTCTTTAGGGCCCAGGAATACCATGGTTGGATTGTACTGCCACCTACAGGAGGATTTGGACAAATGGTTCACGTCCTGTACAACCTCTCCTACTCCCAGCATGCCCCAGTTATTTTGCTATTGTCCTGGGATGGATGTCTGCTTGAGCAATTTCCTAACTTCTGTTGGTGTACCGCAGAAAGGGTTAGTGCAGTGTTTCTCAACTCCAGTCCTCATGGACCCCCAACAGGTCATGTTTTCCGGATTTCCATTATTTTGCACAGGTGATTTGATCAGTTTCACTGCCTTAGTAATTACCACAGCTGTTTCATCTGAGGGAAATCCTGAAAACATGACCTGTTGGGGGTCCATGAGGACTGGAGTTGAGAAACACTGGGTTAGGGCATGGTGAGGGACTGAGCGCTGATGTCATGTGTGCTGTATACATGCCTACTGTTCAGTACTGAGGAAGCAATTTCCCACTTCTGCTCCCAAGTGCAAGGCTTCTTTTATCCCGGCCGGGTCTTTGCTGCTCCTCTACAGTGACCTGCTCACCTCCGGGTAGCCCAGGGCTCATGTACACCGGGCTTGAAGGCCTCTTTTACCGGCCTTTGGCTTGTTTTCTGCCTGTAGATGCACTTCTGTTAGTCTGTCTACGCATGCATCTGCGTTTACATGCGCCATTGAAGAGAAGCGCTTTAGAGGCTGAAAGACCATCACCAATGCCTTGAGGACAGAAAACCTGGACCGCTCGCCACGGTTAGACATGTTAATGCTTTCTAATAGAATAAAGGACTATTCTAGCCTACAGAATGCATTAATAAACACATGTGCAATACGCAGCTTTTCTCCTGCCATTCGGAAGAGTTGAGGAAATGCTGTGTGGCCATGAGGTCTAAATCTCTCCGGCTACCGGCAGCTGGTTTGCAAGTATCCGTAGCCTAGCTCTCTTCCTTCATTGAAGTTGTCCATACTTTGCCGGGACTGTCCTGCTGTAAGGGGTCTCCTCAAGCTTATAATCCACTAATGGGTCCAGTGCAGCATGGGCCTGACACGGACAGCCTGGAACATTGTCCTCTGAGTCTGCCTTCCTTGGACTTTCTTTGCACCCCTTCTTCTGTTCTGTCCCAGGAAGACTTCGGTGACTTTGTTCTGTACTCCTTCCCCTGCAGAATGATCTGATCTGCCTTAGCTGCTTCTCCTACAGAGGCTCAAGTGGAGCCGGGTCCCTCAAACCCCTTTATGGATAATGTTGCCTCTGAGTTGTAGGAGGTTGCAGCCATCACTCTCACATTTATATGGACCATATTGGTTCTTCTGAAGACCACCATGGTCTTCCCAGCCCATCCACTGTTCCTAAATATCCTTCATAGGGACTCCTATTTCCACCTCCCAAACCCATTGCAGCCACATCTCTACCTTGGAAGTCTTATTTTAAGAAGTCCAAGATAAAGTCACCCACGCCCTCAGGATTCCTCAAAATAGGTCCAAAGCTTTATTCAGTGATGGAGCCTTGCAGGACCCCTTCATCGGGCATGTGGATACACATGTTGGGGGTCCTGTGAGGCTCCGAAATGTTGCATCTATGTGATCACTGAATAAAGCATTGGAGCTGTTCTGGAAGTCCATGGTGTGCTGGTGACATCTTCTTCCACTATCGTCGATTCCAGCCAGTAGTTGCTAAACAACCCCTGATGCAGCCTCTTCTCAGGACTGTGTGTTAGGAAATGTATTTTGAGATGTGGGTTGTTCCACCATAGCCCTGGCTTTATCCGCTATGAACAAAGTGCTGACCATCGTGATGGAGAATCCGCCTGTGTTGAAGGATCCCATAGATTCCAACTTGCCCTACCTCCCATGTTTGTCAAACTTCAAATTACAGCCAGCAGTCGGGGGTCTGATCGTCAAAGCCAATACTCTGCTTATGGGGCAGTTAGAGCTCCCAATCCTGTGTGGAGGGCTTACTGGATGTCTCCTGACACTCAACAGGTGGAGAGCTCCTTGGGCAAAGGGTTGGGCTGTAGAGCAAGTAGGACAAAGGTGGCTATAGCAGAGGACCTGCAAGGGGCCCAGCGGAGGAGGCCTCCGTCTCAGATGGGAAATGGTCACTCTCCATCTTTTACCAGCTCCATTCCCATTCGATGCTGACCAAGTGTTAGGTCCTTCCAGCTGCAGGCAGTCCCCCAATGAAAATCCATTTCTTGGAAGTTCATTGGGGGGACACATATCCCACCCTCTACATTGTTCGTCATGCTCTGAGCTCTGCTTTACTACAAACTGAGGCATGCTGGGAGCAACAATTCTATCGTGTCCAAATCCACCTGGAGGAAGCAGTACAACCCAACCGTCATTGACTTCCTGATCCCTCAATGGACAAGAAATGGAGGAGATGTTGGGAACAAACATCCTGTAATTCCCCCACTAACACCACATGGAGGTCCTAGGATCCTCCGCTGCACCCCTCCCCCATACACCAGTATTTTCCCAGACATCACATGGAACCTATAGATGTTCCTGAGCACCTCATATCCCTCCCAGATCTTCCAGGGTACCCCCATATTCTCTCCCCCCCCCCCAGACATGACAGACAAGGTCCAGGATTGCACACAGTGTATTTCTGGCACAGTCGGTGGAATTATAAGGCAATCGTGAATCCACACAAATACAATCAATTACAATCTGGATCCCGGGAACGGTCCACTTCCTCCACTCAGAATCCCAGGGGATGAGAGGCCACCACTCCACCATTTTCAATCAGGGCGGAGGAGACAGAACGCAAGTTTCTGAAGAGAGCGGATCCCCCTCCTCCACTGCGCAGGCTCTTCAGGTTTCCCCGTACACGCTCCGCTGCCTGGAGGAAGGACACACACATGAGGACAAAACCCAATCCCACTTACATAGAGAAGAGACCAGACGTCAACTCACCTCCTCACACCAGATATCACACAGAACCTTCTCATGGAGAGCGGTGGGGAGACCCTCGGAGAGAGCGCGAGACGACCTGAAATACAGGCGAGGGCGGTCACCATCCAAACGCCGCCCAGAAACATGACCTCAACGGACTGGGATCCCTCCACAACCAATCAGCACCTTCCCCTCTAGAGAATGCAGACACCTTCACAGCAGATCCAGTGGTGGGAGGAGTCAGAAAAGGCTCCATAAACTTCCACAGTCTCACCCCTCAGACATCATCCTGTACCCCACATATTACACACACCCTCCATTATCCCCTCCCAAATCCCCCCCCCCCAGACATCACTCAACTTCTGGAATCCTCCTATACCCTACAATCTCCGCCCCCTGTACACCCCCCCCACAACATCACACTCAGGAATCCTCCCGTACCCCACATTCTCCCCCCTCAGACATCATCCTGTACCCCACATATTACACACACCCTCCATCATCCCCTCCCAAATCCCCCCCCCCAGACATCACTCAACTTCTGGAATCCTCCTATACCCTACAATCTCCGCCCCCTGTACACCCCCCCCCACAACATCACACTCAGGAATCCTCCCGTACCCCACATTCTCCCCTCAGACATCATCCTGTACCCCACATATTACACACATCCTCCATTATCCCCTCCCCCCAGACATCACTCAACTTCTAGGATCCTCCTACACCCCTGTACCCTACAATCTCCTGCCCTGTAAAAACCCACCAACCCCACATTCCACCCCCCCACAACATCACACTCAGCAATCCTCCCATATACCCCCCCCGTACCCAATCCTACTATACACCCCTGTACCCCACATTACACTCAGCCTCCAAGATTCCCCCCATACCCCACATCCCCAATCCCCCCCCCCATCTACCCTGTACCCCACATCACACTCAGTCTGCAGCATCCCCCATACCCCACATTCCACCCCCCCCAATCCTGTACACCCCCTATACCCCACATTCTCTCCCCCCCAATCCTTCCATAACCCACATCACACTCAGCCTCCAGGATCCCCCATACCCCACATCCCCCCCAATCCTCCCATACAACCCTATACCCCACATTCTTTCCCCCCTGATCCTCCCCTATACCCCACGATCACACTCTGCCTTCAGCATCCCCCGTACCCCCCCCAATCCCCCACAATTCTCTCCCCCCCCCCGATCCTCCCGTAACCCACATCACACTCAGCCTCCAGGATCTCCCATACACTCCTATACCCCACATTCTCCCCTATACCCCACCTCACACTCTGCCTCCAGAATACCCCAATCCCCCCCATATACCCTGTACCTATCACACTCAGCCTCCAGGATCCCCCGTACCCCACATTCTTCCCCCCAATCCTCCTGTACCCAACATCACACTCTGCCTTCAGGATCCCGTATATTTCCCCCCCTCAACATCATCAGCCTCCACGATCCTCCCTCTGTACCGCCCCCACTCCCAAACCACCACCCCCTCAAACATCACACTCAGCCCCACATTCCTCCTTCCCCCCCAAACAATCACACTCAGCCCCACATTCCTCCTTCCCCCCCCAACATCACATTCAGCCTCACATTCCTCCTTCCCCCCCCCAACATCACACTCAGCCCCACATTCCTCCTTCCCCCCCAACATCACACTCAGCCCCACATTCCTCCTTCCCCCCCCTCAAAATATCACACTCAGCCCCACATTCCTCCTTCCCCCCCAACATCACACTCAGCCCCACATTCCATCCTTCCCCCCCAACATCACACTCAGCCTCACATTCCTCCTTCCCCCCCAACATCACACTCAGCCCCACATTCCTCCTTCCCCCCCCAACATCACACTCAGCCTCACATTCCTCCTTCCCCCCCAACATCACACTCAGCCCCACATTCCTCCTTCCCCCCCAACATCACACTCACTCAGCCCCACATTCCTCCTTCCCCCCCAACATCACACTCAGCCCCACATTCCTCCTTCCCCCCCAACATCACATTCAGCCTCACATTCCTCCTTCCCCCCCCTCAAACATCACACTCAGCCCCACATTCCTCCTTCCCCCCAACACACATCACACTCAGCCCCACATTCCTCCTTCCCCCCAACATCACATTCAGCCTCCAGGACCGCCCCCAGACATCACACACAGAACATGGGGGGGGGCACTCCTCCACCTCCTTCCCTGTATCACAAGCCAAGCCCCTGTGGGCGGAGTCACACACCTACCTGGACAGCACCACGATCATGGCGTACAGATCAATGGCAGCGTCAGCAACTCTGTGCAATATGAACTGCTCATCTGTGGAGGGAATGAGAACCAATCAGTGGAGAGACCACACAAAGTGGGAGGAGACAATACCACCTAACTGACATGAATCGGTCATAAATGGGAGTGGCTCCGAGAAGGATGGGTCACCGTTATGTTGGTGCAATCACATCCTGACTTTCCTTTGCCCCGCCCCCTCCTGAGTCTTCCATTAGTTTTCTAATGTAATGTGTAGGGCTCGGAGGTGGGAAGGGGCGGGGCAGGAGACGCAGCTCCTCAGGGGCGGGGCAGGAGACGCAGCTCCTCAGGGGGGACCTCACCTGCTGGGTTGTCTGTATATAGGGAATCGATATTCCCATCTCATGTCTGAGCGCCACCATTGATTGGGCACTCAAGGATCCCAAGCCATTCCCTGATTGGATGAGATGGAGAGGGAGGGACAGTGAAGTGTCAAGGTCCACCCCCCTCATCTTGTTTTCATTGAATGGCTGTGCCAAGTGAGCGCCCCCCTGTGGTCAGTGTGCAGAGATCACATGACCCTGATGGCAGAGTCACCATAATCAAGGGGGTGCAGAAAATAATCCCCTCCCCCCCCCAATAACTACCCCTGACCAAGCTGGACTCATGTGACCAAATCTGGAGAACTCCCATTGGTGAGAGGGGATCTGGGCCCACGCTGCCGTGTTACTATAGAGACAGCCATACCCACAATCCTCTTCCCGTATCTGACGAGGATTTCCTCCACCACCAACCCGAAATCTTCCAGAGCGCCAACAGCCTGAAAAAAGGAAGAAGACAAAACGTGTCATGCTCCACCCCTTTTCACCATCTGCCCCTCCCTCTCTGGGATACACTTTACAGCCAACAGGCAGAAGAGGGATAGGACAGTGGGCGGGTGCCAACAACAACCAATCACAGTTCAAAAAAACTAAATCTGAGAGGGACCCCATCACTCACCAGATCACCGACCCCCCCCTCCTCCACCATCACTGACTCCTCCCCCCACCAGGTCACTGACCCCCTCCCCCAACCATCACCCACAGGTCACTGACCCCTCCACCACCCACCAGGTCAGCAACCCCTCCATCACTCAATAGGTTACCAACCCCCCTCCATCACCCACCAGGGCACCAACCCCTCCATCACTCACTAGTCACCGACCCCTCCCCCCTCCATCACTCACCAGTGCTGCACTCTTCTCCACCTCTGGATGGACGTGTCCTTTAAGGGTGAGTCCTGTGCCCAGACCGGCCTTCCTACAGGTAGAAAATGAGACAATATGAGAGCCAGCCCCACCCACCCCCATATCCAATACTGCCCTCCTTCCCAACCTACCCACCCCTGCAAATCTGTTACTGTCTCCTCCACCTATTAACCACTCCCATTAATATTACTGCCCCTCCTCCTGCCCACTTATTACCATATATATGACCCCTCCCCCTCACCTTTTGGCTCTCCCGCACCCCCTCCCTCAGCAGGAGTTGGGAGTTGCTCAGTGGACTGGTGATGGCCTTCTGGAGAGATTTCAGCTCCTTCCCGGCGCTCTGCGGATCCATGAAGGGTGAGATGGTTATGGCGGCACAGTGGGGGAAGGGTAAGGGGGGGTGCTGGAATTAGCAGCGGGGGCAGTTGTGGGGAGCAGACGGGGTACCTGCAGTCCATTAAGGGAAACAAACAGCCTCAGGATGTCATTGGTTCCTTCAAAGATTCGGAAAATGCGCAAATCACGGAGAACGCGTTCCACTCCGCCATCCTGGAAGAAGACAAGAGATGGGACACACACAGCAAAGACAACCCACCAATCCCATGGCTGGCTGAGCCCGACCCCGGCAAAGGCCAGAACCCAACCCCCGGGGCCCAGAACCCAACCTTGGCCGAGGCCAGAGCCCAACCCCAGGGCCCGACAGAGGCCCAGAACCCAACCCCCCAGGGCCCGACAGAGGCCCAGAACCCAACCCCCAGGGCCCAACACAGGCCCGGAACCCAACCCCCGGGGCCCGGAACCCAACCCCCAGGGCCCGAAAGAGGGCCAGGGCCCAACCCTGGCCAAGGCCAGAACCCAACCCCAGGCCCCGACAGAGGCCCGGAACCCAACCTCCCGGGCCCGACAGAGGCCCGGAACCCAACCTCCCGGGGCCCGACAGAGGCCCGGAACCCAACCTCCCGGGGCCCGACAGAGGCCCGGAACCCAACCTCCCGGGGCCCGACAGAGGCCCGGAACCCAACCTCCCGGGGCCCGACAGAGGCCCAGAACCCAACCCTGGAGCCAAGCAGAGGCCAAAACCCGAACCCCGGTTATAGGGCCTGCAGAGACCAGAAGCTCAGTCTTAGAGCCCACAGTGACAACCCACCAATCCCATCGCTGGCTGAGCCCAACCAAGGGCAGAGGCCAGAACCCAACTCCAGAGCCCAGTTGTAGGGCCTGCAGAGACCAGAAGCTCAGCCTTGGAGCCCACAGTGACAAGCCACTCAACCCAATCCCAAAGGTTGGCAGATTCTGGCTGCCCAACTCCAGATCGTGCAGTGACTGGACTCCTGGAGCCCGCAGAGTGAAGCCACCCCATCCCGGAGCCCGCAGAGTGAAGCCACCCCATCCCAGAGCCCACACAGGCCGACCGCCCCCATCCCAGAGCCCACACAGGCCGACCGACCGACCCATCCCAGAGCCCACACAGGCCGACCGCCCCCATCCCAGAGCCCACACAGGCCGACCGACCGCATCGCCCATCCCAGAGCCCACACAGGCCGACCGCACCCATCCCAGAGCCCACACAGGCCGACCGCGCCCCATCCCAGAGCCCACACAGGCCGTCCGCCCCATCCCAGAGCCCACACAGGCCGTGCCCGCCCCATCCCAGAGCCCACACAGGCCGTCCGCCCCATCCCAGAGCCACACAGGCCGTCCGCCCCATCCCAGAGGCCACACAGGCCGTCCGCCCCATCCCAGAGGCCACACAGGCCGTCCGCCCCATCCCAAGGCCACACAGGCCGTCCGCCCCATCCCAGAGGCCACACAGGCCGTCCGCCCCATCCCAGAGGGCCACACAGGCCGTCCGCCCCATCCCAGAGGCCACACAGGCCGTCCGCCCCATCCCAGAGGCCACACAGGCCGTCCGCCCCATCCCAGAGCCCACACAGGCCGTCCGCCCCATCCCAGAGCCCACACAGGCCGTCCGCCCCATCCCAGAGCCCACACAGGCCGTCCGCCCCCATCCCAGAGCCCACACAGGCCGTCCGCACCCATCCCAGAGGCCACACAGGCCGTCCCCGCCCCATCCCAGAGGCCACACAGGCCGTCCGCCCCATCCCAGAGGCCACACAGGCCGTCCGCGCCCATCCCAGAGCCCACACACAGGCCGTCCGCGCCCATCCCAGAGCCCACACAGGCCGTCCGCCCCATCCCCAGAGCCCACACAGGCCGTCCGCCCCCATCCCAGAGCCCACAGCCCTCTACAATGGAGAATAAGGCCTGAAGCCCCCCAGACAGGAGCAGCGCAGTAATAGGGGACGCGGCGCTCTCTTATGGCGTCTCTCTGCGCACTACACACACTGGAGGGAGATGGCGCCAGCGCTCACCTTCATGAATCCGGTTCCTCCCAGAAGTTGGATACATTCATCGGTCCACCGGCCCAGGCCGCCTCCTGAGAACACACAATCGGCAGACATTACAGATCACAGAGGGGACCAATGAATCTGCCGCCCAGAGCAGCCAATCAGGTTCTCCCTTTCATACACAGGAAACATCGGGGATGAACTGGATTGGCTGCAACAGGCAGAAAGTCACATGACAGTGTGAAGAGTGACAGGTCCTCACCGAGCCGAAGACTTTACTGATGGCGGCTTCTATCTGGAAGTCTTTGGCCCCGGAAATCCATGTTGGCGCTGATCATGTACGCCATCGACTGAGGGAGACAATGGAGACAGGAAATGAGACCAACACCCCCTACATGGGGGGGAGGAGAGAAGAAAGGAAGGGCAGGGCAGAGGGAAGGTAGGCGGGGACTGATGGGTAATAAGGAATCCTACAAATGGCAGTTGGGATGGCAGATTGAATTCAGTCTTGGTGTCAGATGAGGATGGGGGTGTTCTAAAAACCAGCCACCCAATCCCACCCCAGCCAATGGTCAGCAGTACATGACCACCATGGAGGAGACAAATGGTTCCATTGCCAGTAATGAGATGCAGAGACGTGTCCCCACCAACAAGATGTCTCCTAATTGGTCGCTCATGGAGAGATCAGCCCCACCTATGGTCAGTCATACCACCCCAGTGTTTTGGGACCAGATGATACCCCATATGATGTTGGGGATCAGGTGTGGCCCCTGGGTGCTGCCCGGTGAAGTCCCATACACCTCATGTCAGGTGAAGCGTGAGGATGACCATCTGACCCCAAACATTACACGGGAGGGCAACAAATCACAGGCTGGTTACCTCGGTGACATATTGCAGGACCCGCCCCGCCATACGCGCCAACTTCTCCTGAATGACTCCGAACGTGTGAAGCTTACTTCCAAACTGCGTGCGATTGGTGGCGTGATCCACCTGAGGTGTCCAATGGGGAAGAAGGACAAGTTACCACCAACACAGAGCCCCTCCCATTACACATAACTCCTCCCACTACTCACTTCTTGCCATTATTCACGATTCCTCGCACCTCATACTTCCTCTTCACTTTTATGACTCCTCCCACTCCCTCCTATAATGATCATGACTCCTCCCACTCCCTCCTGTAATTATCACATGACTCCTCTCACTCCCTCCTGTTATGATCATGACTCCTCCCACTCCCTCCTGTAATTATCACATGACTCCTCCCACTCCCGTTCTCCATGAGCAGTCCTCCCCAATGGCCACTTGTGTAACATAAAACCTGATCACACAACTCCATAAACTTTGACCAATTACTGATTACAGCTCCACCCATCACTCTACCGTTTAGTCCCTCCCATCACTCCACACTTGGCTGCCCCTGGTGGCGACATGGGATGCTGCACCACCGCTCTTTCGATCATCCCCTTCATGGTGCCGAGAGGGCGGCTGCCATCCCAAAGCGCCCATTGTTCAGAATATTCATCGCCACCTTGAAACCGTTTCCCTCGCCACCGAGGGAAACGTTCTCCGCCGGGACCCGGACCTCATCGAAGTGCAGAGCGGCTGTGTTACTGGCCCGGATCCCCAACTTCTTGTCCGGGGGCCACTAGGAGAGACCCCAACCATTGTCAAAGGTCAGCTTGAAGCCACGTAGAAGGAGAGCAACTGCAGGTCAATACAGACCACTGATCTCTACCACTGAGGGGTCCCCACCACATACTGGCCCCAGTGCCTATTGCAGTGTACACCATGGAGACCCCCCCCCCCAATACAGACCACTGATCCCCACCACTGAGTGGTCCCCACCACATACTGGCCCCAGTATCTATTACAGTGTACACCATGGAAACCCCCCCTAATACAGACCACTGATCCCCACCACTGAGGGGTCCCCACCACATACTGGCCCCAGTGCCTATTACAGTGTACACCATGGGAGACCCCCCCCCCCCCAATACAGACCACTGATCCCCACACCACTGAGGGGTCCCCACCACATACTGGCCCCAGTATCTATTACAGTGTACACCATGGAAACCCCCCCCAATACAGACCACTGATCCCCACCACTGAGGGGTCCCCACCACATACTGGCCCCAGTGCCTATTACAGTGTACACCATGGAAACCTCCCCCCCCCCCCCCCCCCCAATACAGACCACTGATCTCCACCACTGAGGGGTCCCCATTTACATACTGGCCCCAGTACCTATTACAGTGTACACCATGGAGACCCCCCCCAATACAGACCACTGATCCCCACACCTGAGAGGTCCCCACCACATACTGGCCCCAGTACCTATTACAGTGTACACCATGGAAACCCCCCCAATACAGACCACTGATCCCCACCACTGAGGGGTCCCCACCACATACTGGCCCCAGTAACTATTACAGTGTACACCATGGAAAACCCCCCCCCCCCCAATACAGACCACTGATCTCCACCACTGAGGGGTCCCCATTACATACTGGCCCCCAGTATCTATTACAGTGTACACCATGAAGACCCCCCCAATACAGATCACTGATCTCCAACCCTGAGGTGCCTCCACCACTGAGGGGTCCCCACCACATACTGGCCCCAGTACCTATTACAGTGTACACCATGGAAACCCCCCCAATACAGACCACTGATCCCCACCACTGAGGGGTCCCCACCACATACTGGCCCCAGTAACTATTACAGTGTACACCATGGAAAAACCTCCCCCCCCCCAATACAGACCACTGATCTCCACCACTGAGGGGTCCCCATTACATACTGGCCCCAGTACCTATTACAGTGTACACCATGGAGACCCCCCCCAATACAGACCACTGATCCCCACACCTGAGAGGTCCCCACCACATACTGGCCCCAGTACCTATTACAGTGTACACCATGGAAACCCCCCCTATACAGACCACTGATCCCCACCACTGAGGGGTCCCCACCACATACTGGCCCCAGTAACTATTACAGTGTACACCATGGAAACCCCCCCCCCCCCCCCCCAATACAGACCACTGATCTCCACCACTGAGGGGTCCCCCATTACATACTGGCCCCAGTACCTATTACAGTGTACACCATGGAGACCCACCCAATACAGACCACTGATCCCCACCACTGAGGGGTCCCCACCACATACTGGCCCCAGTAACTATTACAGTGTACACCATGGAAACCCCCCCCCAATACAGACCACTGATCTCCACCACTGAAGGGTCCCCCACCACATACTGGCCCCAGTATCTATTACAGTGTACACCATGAAGACCCCCCCAATACAGATCACTGATCTCCAACCCTGAGGTGCCTCCACCACTGAGGGGTCCCCACCACAAACTGGCCCCAGTACCTATTACAGTGTACACCATGGAGACCCCCCACAATACTCTTCACCCCAACCCGAGTCCTGATATTACGCCATGAAATCCCACCTGCCCCATAGACCACCATATTCCCATCACTCACTGGGTCACACCTTCTCCCCCTTTCTACGATAAATGCCGTGATCTTCTCCTTCATCTCTCCAGTGGACGGGTCAGGGATTTGGGTTTTGGCAAAGACTGTGAACACGTCTGCGATTCCTCCATTACTGTGAGAGAGAAGAGATGTGGTAACACATGAGAGATGAAAGTTATCTGGATGAAGACTGGACCACCATGAGAAGCCAACACACACCAGATTCCCCGAGACTGGACCGCCACGAGAAGCCGACACACACCAGATTCCCCGAGACTGGACCGCCACGAGAAGCCGACACACACCAGATTCCCCGAGACTGGACCACCACGAGAAGCCCACACACACCAGATTCCCCGAGACTGGACCACCACGAGAAGCCACACACACACACACACCAGATTCCCCCGAGACTGGACAGCCATGAGAAGCCGACACACACCAGATTCCCCGAGACTGGACCGCCATGAGAAGAACACACACACACCAGATTCCCCGAGACTGGACCACCATGAGAAGCCCACACACACACACCAGATTCCCTGAGACTGGACCACCATGAAAAGCCCACACACACACCCAGATTCCCGAGAATGGATGTACACCGATATAGAAATCCGCCATATTGGGCTGGAAATGTCCACTCACCTGATCCAGAGTTTGCCCCCATTCAGGGTATAGAACCTTCCACAGGGGCTCATCTTCGCTGTGGTTCGGATGGATGCATCAGATCCGCTGGAGGGTTCCGTCAGACAAAAGGCTGCAATCGTTTCACCTGGATGGAAAGGTAACAAAATGACATCCACAGCTACTGCCCTGCTACCCACCAAACTACCCCCCAATCTACCCCCCAAACTACCCCACCTCCCCCAAAATCCCTATAGACCAAGACCCTCTGAATTGCCATTTAACCCCCTTTACTGCCTCCTACAAACCCCTACCCACTATTACCCCCCCCTCACCTCCTCCTACATACCCCTACCCACTATTACCCCCCCCCACCGCCTCCTACATACCCCTACCCACTATTCCCCCCCCCCCCCACCCTCCTCCTACATACCCCTACCCCACTTTACCCCCCCTCACCACCTCCTACATACCCCTACCCACTATATACCCCCCCCCCCACCCCTATAGCGTCTCCTACATACCCCTACCCACTATTACCCCCCCCACCGTCTCCTACATACCCCTACCCACTATTCCCCCCCCCCACCGCCCTCCTACATACCCCTACCCACTATTCTTCCCCCCCCCCCACAAAGCCTCCTACATACCCCTAAACCCACTATTCCCCCCCCCTCACCGCCTCCTACATACCCCTACCCACTAGTCCCCCCCCCCCCCACCGCCTCCTACATACCCCTAACCCACTATTTACCCTCCCCCCCTCACCACCTCCTACATACCCTACCCACTATTACCCCCCCTCACCACCATCCTACATACCCCTACCCACTATTACCCCCCCCCTCACACCACCTCCTACATACCCCTACTCACTATTCCCCCCCCTCACCTCCCTACCCACTATTACCCCCCCCTCACCTCCTCCCCACATACCTCTACCCACTATTACCCCCCCTCACCGCCTCCCCACATACGACTACCCTACCCACTATTACCCCCCCTCAACCACCGCCTCCCACATACGACTACCCACTATTACCCCGCCCCCTCACCGCCTCCTACATACCCCTACCCACTATTACCCCCCCCCTCACCGCCTCCTACATACCCCTACCCACTATTACCCCCCCCCCTCACCGCCCTCCTACATACCCCTATTACCCCCACTATTACCCCCCCTCACCCCGCCTCCTACATACCCCTACCCACTATTACCCCCCCCCACCGCCTCCTACATACCCCTACCCACTATTAACCCCCCTCACCGCCTCCTACATACCCCTACCCACTATTACCCCCCCCCCACACCGCCTCCTACATACCCCTACCCACTATTACCCCCCCTCACCGCCTCCTACCATACCCCTACCAACTATTCCACCCCCCCCCCCCTCACACCAGCCTCCTACATACCCCTACCCCCTATTATTCCCCCCTCACCGCCTCCTACATACCCCTACTCACTATTCCCCCACACCGCCCTCCTACATACCCCTATCCACTATTACCCCCCCCTCACCGCATCCTACATACCCCTACCCACTATTACCCCCCCCCTCACCGCCTCCTACATACCCATATTACCCACTATTTACCCACTATTACCCCCCCCTCACCTATCTCCCACATACGACGCCCTACTATTACCCCCCCCCCCCTCACAGCCGCCTCCCACATACGACTACCCACTATTACCCCCCCCTCACCGCCTCCCACATACCCCTACCCACTATTACACCCCCCCTCACCGCCTCCTACATACCCCTACCCACTATTACCCCCCCTCTCAGCCACCGCCTCCTACATACCCCTACCCACTATTACCCCCCCCTCACCGCCTCCTACATACCCCTACCTCACTATTACCCCCCCTCACCGCCTCCTACATACCCCTACCCTACCCCTATTACCCCCCCTCACCGCCTCCTACATACCCCTACCCACTATTACCCCCCCCTCACCGCCTCCTACATACCCCTACCAACTATTCCCCCCCCCCCCCTCACCGCCTCCTACATACCCCTACCCACTATTCCCCCCCTCACCGCCTCCTACATACCCCTACTCACTATTCCCCCACCGCCTCCTACATACCCCTATCCTCTATTACCTACCCCCCCCTCACCGCATCCTACATACCCCTACCCACGATTACCCGCCCCCCCCCCCCATCTCCTACATATCCCTAACCACTATTCTCCCCCCCCCCCCCCACTCACCGCCTCCTACATACCTGTAACCCACTATTACCCCCCCCCCCCCCATCTCCTACATACCCCTACTCACTATCCCCCCCCCCCCACTCACCACATCCTACATACCCTTACCCACTATTCCCCCCTCACCTCCTCCTACATACCCCTACTCACTATTCCCCCCCCCCTCACCTCCTCCTACCCACTATTACCCCCCCTCACCTCCTCCCACATACCTCTACCCACTATTACCCCCCCCCACACCGCCTCCCACATACGACTACCCACTATTACCCCCCCTCACCACCCTCCCACATACGACTACCCACTATTACCCCCCCTCACCGCCTCCCACATACGACTACCCACTATTACCCCCCCTCACCGCCTCCTACATACCCCTACCCACTATTACCCCCCCTCACCGCCTCCTACATACCCCTACCCACTATTACCCCCCCCTCCTCACCGCCTCCTACATACCCCTACCCACTATTACCCCCCTCACCGCCTCCTACATACCCCTACCAACTATTCCCCCCCCCCCTCACCCGCCTCCTACATACCCCTACCCACACTATTCCCCCCTCACCGCCTCCTACATACCCCTACTCACTATTCCCCCACCGCCTCCTACATACCCCTATCCACTATTACCCCCCCCTCACCGCATCCTACATACCCCTACCCACTATTTCCCCCCTCCGCCTCCTACATACCCTACCCACTATTACCCCCCTCACCTCCTCCTACATACCCCTACCCACTATTACCCCCCCTCATCGCCTCCTACATACCCCTACCCACTATTACCCCCCTCACCTCCTCCTACATACCCCTACCCACTATTACCCCCCTCACCTCCTCCTACATACCCCTACCCACTATTACCCCCCCTCATCGCCTCCTACATACCCCTACCCACTATTACCCCCCTCACCTCCTCCTACATACCCCTACCCACTATTCCCCTTCTCACTGACTCCTATATACCCCCTCCCTGTATTTCTTCCCTTTACCTGAGGCAAGTCGGGGGAGATACTTCGTCTTCTGCTCCTCTGTCCCGTACAGAAGGATTCCTTTAAACCCGATGGATTGATGAGCTCCGAGAGTGATGCCAACACCCAGATCGTGCAACCCGACAATCTCCACCAGGCGGGCGTACTGAGCAATGGGGCAGACATGGGGGAGAGAGACCATGGAGGCTGAGTGTGCAGGAGAGAATCGCCATGGCAAAGACCCCCAATAACCTAACCAACATCCCCCCCTTATGTATTATACATGGAGATCATATCCCCTCTTATGTATTATACATGGAGATCATATCCCCCTTATGTATTATACATGGAGATCATATCCCCCTTATGTATTATACATGGAGATCATATCCCCCCCTTATGTATTATACATGGAGATCATATCCCCCCCTTATGTATTATACATGGAGATCATATCCCCTCTTATGTATTATACATGGAGATCATATCCCCCTTATGTATTATACATGGAGATCATATCCCCCTTATGTATTATACATGGAGATCATATCCCCCCTTATGTATTATACATGGAGATCATATCCCCTCTTATGTATTATACATGGAGATCATATCCCCCCTTATGTATTATACATGGAGATCATATCCCCCCCTTATGTATTATACATGGAGATCATATCCCCTCTTATGTATTATACATGGAGATCATATCCCCCCTTATGTATTATACACGGAGATCATATATCCCCCTTATGTATTATACACGGAGATCATATCCCCCTTATGTGTTATACACGGAGATCATATCCCCCCTTATGTATTATACATGGAGATCATATCCCCCCCTTATGTATTATACATGGAGATCATATCCCCCCTTATGTATTATACACGGAGATCATATCCCCCTTATGTGTTATTATACACGGAGATCATATCCCCCCTTATGTATTATACATGGAGATCATATCCCCCCTTATGTATTATACATGGAGATCATATCCCCCCTTATGTATTATACACGGAGATCATATCCCCCTTATGTGTGTTATACACGGAGATCATATCCCCCCCTTATGTATTATACACGGAGATCATATCCCCCTTATGTGTTATACACGGAGATCATATCCCCCCTTATGTATTATACACGGAGATCATATCCCCCCCTTATGTATTATACATGGAGATCATATCCCCCCCTTATGTATTATACATGGAGATCATATCCCCCCCTTATGTATTATACATGGAGATCATATCCCCCCCTTATGTATTATACATGGAGATCATATCCCCCCCCTTATGTATTATACACGGAGATCATATCCCCCTTATGTGTTATACACGGAGATCATATCCCCCCTTATGTGTTTATACACGGAGATCATATCACCCCCTTATGTATTATACACGGTGATCATATCCCCCTTATGTATTATACATGGAGATCATATCCCCCTTATGTATTATACATGGAGATCATATCCCCCCCTTATGTATTATACATGGAGATCATATCCCCCCCTTATGTATTATACATGGAGATCATATCCCCCCTTATGTATTATACATGGGGATCATATCCCCCCTTATGTATTATACATGGAGATCATATCCCCCCTTATGTATTATACTTGGAGATCATATCCCCCCCTTATGTATTATACTTGGAGATCATATCCCCCCTTATGTATTATACATGGAGATCATATCCCCCCCCCTTATGTATTATACATGGGGATCATATCCCCCCTTATGTATTATACATGGAGATCATATCCCCCTTATGTATTTATACATGGAGATCATATCCCCCCTTATGTATAGATCATATTATACATATCCCCCTTATGTATTATACATGGAGATCATATCCCCCCTTATGTATTACACATGGAGAGATCATACCCCCCCCTTATGTATTATACATGGAGATCATATCCCCCCCCCTTATGTATTATACATGGAGATCATATCCCCCCCTTATGTATTATACATGGAGATCATATCCCCCCCTTATGTATTATACATGGAGATCATATCCCCCCCCCCTTATGTATTATACATGGAGATCATATCCCCCCTTATGTATTATACATGGTGATCATATCCCCCCTTATGTATTATACATGGAGATCATATCCCCTCTTATGTATTATACATGGAGATCATATCCCCCCCTTATGTATTATACATGGAGATCATATCCCCCCTTATGTATTATACATGGAGATCATATCCCCCCTTATGTATTATACATGGATGATCATATCCCCCCTTATGTATTATACATGGAGATCATATCCCCCTTATGTATTATACATGGAGATCATACCCCCCCCTTATGTATTATACATGGAGATCATACCCCCCCTTATGTATTATACATGGAGATCATATCCCCCCCTTATGTATTATACATGGAGATCATATCCCCCCTTATGTATTATACATGGAGATCATATCCCCCCTTATGTATTATACATGGAGATCATATCCCCCCCTTATGTATTATACATGGAGATCATATCCCCCCTTATGTATTATACATGGAGATCATATCCCCCCTTATGTATTATACATGGAGATCATATTCCCCCTTATGTATTATACATGGAGATCATATCCCCCCTTATGTATTATACATGGAGATCATATCCCCCCCTTATGTATTATACATGGAGATCATATCCCCCCCTTATGTATTATACATGGAGATCATATCCCCCCCCCCCCTTATGTATTATACATGGAGATCATATCCCCCCTTATGTATTATACATGGTGATCATATCCCCCCTTATGTATTATACATGGAGATCATATCCCCTCTTATGTATTATACCAACCCCCCTACATCTCACCCCACCCACCTCCTGCCCCGGCCGCCTTCTGGAGACTCTGCCACACACGACAAGCCCCTCCCCACTTACCTGGGTGTTATTCAGGCCCATCCCCCCCAAGTCCACCGGGACCTGCAGGCCGAATGCTCCAAGTTCCTTCAGTCCTGCCATCGACTTGTCATCCACCTTCTGCAGGTCGTCATTCAGCGCTGGGTCATTCACCTCCTGAGGGAGGAAACATGGACAAGAAATATGGACCCCCTCCATCCAATCAGAGTCATCTCAGGAATGGAGGGGTGAGGGGACAATGGCGGAGGGCAGGACCCCCTCCATCCATTCACCAGTCATCTCAGGAATGGAGGGGTGAGGGGACAATGGCGGAGGGCAGGACCCCCTCCATCCATTCACCAGCCATCTCAGGAATGGAGGGGTGAGGGAACAATGGCGGAGGGCAGGACCTCCTCCATCCATTCACAGCCATCTCAGGAATGGAGGGGTGAGGGGGACAATGGCAGAGGGCAGGACCCCCTCCATCCATTCACCAGCCATCTCAGGAATGGAGAGGTGAGGGGATATTGGCAGAGGGCAGGACACCCTCCATCCATTCACCAGTCATCTCAGGAATGGAGAGGTGAGGGGACATTGGCAGAGGGCAGGACCCCCTCCACCCATTCACCAGACAGAGGTGGTTTTCATGGCATTTTGGGCAGAAATGAAGCCCCATGCGCAGTCTGATTGTGGGATCCCGGGGATCACAGAGAGCAATCTGAAGACCGACCCCGTTACTGTGATAAGCCACACGGCTTGGAGAGATCATCTCCCGTCTTCTGGTCTCCATACACATCGCACTCACCTGGAAGAAACGTGAGACGGGACCAACCAACTCGCCGAGGAACTGGGACTGGTCTTCACTGAGCACTGCGGGCAAAAAGACAAGGTGGGGGAGGGGTGAGAGGACTTCACAAGGAATTCTGGGTAAACAAGAGAGAACCACCAAATTCAGGGTCTTACCAGAGGGGGAAGGGGAAGACCTGCTCTGTGTGTGTATGAGGCCATTGAACATCCCAACCGCAAACGACCGAGACTCCTAGAGAAACGGACACCAGCAGAGTCACTGCAAGGACGGGACGAGGGGTCTCCATATCTACAACCTGTGACTGGATGGAAAATGTGCCGCTGACCACACCCATCCAAGGTACCACCACCCCGCCGAACACCCAGCCAAGGTACCACCACCCCGCCGAACACCCAGCCAAGGTACCACCACCCCGCCGAACACCCAGCCAAGGTACCACCACCCCGCCGAACACCCAGCCAAGGTACCACCACCTGACCACACCCAGCCAAGGTACCACCACACCGCCGAACACCCAGCCAAGGTACCACCACCCCGCCGAACACCCAGCCAAGGTACCACCACCCCGCCGAACACCCAGCCAAGGTACCACCATCCCGCCGAACACCCAGCCAAGGTACCACCACCCCGCCGAAACACCCAGCCAAGGTACCACCCCCCCGCCGAACACCCAGCCAAGGTACCACCACCCCGCCGAACACCCAGCCAAGGTACCACCACCTGACCACACCCAGCCAAGGTACCACACCCCTTAACCACACCAAGCCAAGGTACCACCCCGCCGAACACCCAGCCAAGGTACCACCCCCCCGACCACACCCAGCCCCCCACACACCACCCCGTCCCACCATCACCCAGCCAACATACACCCCCCCCGACCACACCCAGCCAAGGTACCACCACCCCCCAGTGACCACACCCAGCCAAGGGTACCACCACCCCACCCACAGTACCCCCCTCACTGACCACACCCAGCCAAGGTACCCCCCACTGATTACAACCAACCAGTGTACCCCCCCCCCACACCCAGCCAAAGTACCACCCCACACACACACTGGCAACACCCAGCCAATATAGCACTGGCCCCCAGAGACCACACCCACCAATGTAACACCCCCCACTGACCACATCCAGCCAATGTGCACATACCCCCTTCCCACCCTAGACAAAATACACTACCCAGCTAAGCTGAATCCAAAATGGCTGACTTACCACCTCCCTCTTCTGTGACACACGGACAGTTTGTGATGCGGCCTCTGTCGCTGACAATCCATCTTTATCCACAACCGTCTGTATAAGATATAACAAACATATACATACACACATTATATATATATATATCCATCCCCTCCCCCTCCAGAAGGTTCCCCCCTTCATGACCAGGCCAGTTTTAGCTATTCAGCACTGCACTACTTGAGCTGGCAATGGTTCGGTCATACAACACTGGACCCACTTGAAATGTTTATCATTTTTCCCACACAAGTAGCGCTTTCCCCTGGTGGCATTTTATCACCGCTGGGAGGGGTTTATTTTTTGTGATATAAAACAACAACAAAAAAAAAAGATTTTCTACTTTGTTATAAAAAATATCCAATAAACTAAAAGTTCGCCATAAATTTAGGCCAAAATGTATTGTGCTCCGTGTCTTCGGTGAAATGGTCCCAATACGTGTCCATTGAATGCTTTGTGTGTCAGTCTACAGACCGCGGGACATTACTGCCATTTACAGCTTTTACTTCTGACGGCCCATCACATTTCTGGAGGGGCTAAAATACACCCCCCCTTCCCAAATTACCCCCTTTTTCGGAAAGTAAACACCCCAAGAAATTTGCGGAGAGGCATGTTGAGTCCATGGAAGATTTTTTTTTTTGCCACAAATTTTTAGAAAAAAATGACAAAAAGGTTTTCGGTTTTTTTTTTTTCTTTACACAAAGTTGCCTCTTAAATGATTTATTGCTCACACATGCCATGGTTATATGTGGAATTACACCCCAAAATTCATTCTGCTACTTCTCCCGAGTATGGGGGTACCACATGTGAGAGACTTTTTTGTAGCCTATCCACATACAGGCCCCCAAAATCCAATGACCACCTCCAGGCTTTCAAAGGGCATATCTTTTCCCCATATCACTTCCCAACTACCTATTATTAACAGTTTTGGAGGCCATAGCCCAAATGCCAGAATAGTACAAACCCCCCCCCCCAAATGACCCCTTTTTGGGAAGTAGACACCCCATGGAATTTGCTAAGAGGCATGGTGAGTATATTGCAAATTTCATTTTTGTCACAAGGTTCAGAAAAAATAAATAAATACATTTTTGTTCTCTTTTTTCGATTAAAACTTGTGGCAACAAATGAGATCTCCAAAACACTCAGCATTCGCCCCTTATCAAATTCCTTGGGGTGTCTACTTTCCAAAAAGGGGTCATTTGGGGGGTGGGGGGGGGGAAGGGGCATTTCAGGGCCGACATTAGAAGTTTATGCCACACATCACCCACTCTTCTAACCACCTGAAGGCCACGCCCCTTCTGGCACTTTGTCATACTTGAAAATGTTTTCCTATAGCAACTAAACTTTGAAACCCAAATTTTCTACATAAGGCCGCTAGAGAAATAAATGATAATCAGTGGAAATGGTTTTTTTACTCACAATCATCCAACAATTTTGCTGCAGAACGATTTTTTCAACTACTTTTTTTTTTTTTTAACATACATCCCTTTTAGAATATTAAATGCACAAAACACACATATATTGCCCAAGTTGTTTGATAAAATCTATTATTATTATTAATGATACAGTATTTTATATAGCGCCCATAGTGGTCTCAGCGCTGTACAATCTACGAAAGGGGGACAGAACATGTGACAGAACCAATACCAATAACAATGTGATACATGAGGGGATCGAGGCCCTGCTCCTTGCGTGCATTACAATCACGAGGAGGAGGAGGTGTGTGGCACAGGAGGAGATAGCCTGTGGGTGGATGGAGTTGTAGGAAAGAGTGGAGGAGGTCGGCAAGTTAGCAGGGGGTGGGGTAGGCTTCCCATGAAGAGATGGGTTTTTCAGGTGCGCCTAAAGGAAGATGAAGAAGTAGGTGAATAATCTGATGGTTTGGGCAGGAGAGTTCCAGAGGATTGGGTTGGACACCCTGGAGAAGTCCTGGAGGCGGGCAGTGGAGGAGGAAACCATAGGAACTAGCAGAGAAGGAGGTTCTTGTGAGGAAGCGGAGTGGCTGCGTGTTGGGCGGCGACACTAGCTAACTGGATATTAGGTCAGTGAGTAGTTTCGTGGCAAGTATGGTGGACAGCTTTGTACGTCATTGTTAGGATTTTGAATTTGTATCCGTTGCGCAATCTGAAGGTCCAGTGGAGGATGTAGCAAGAGGGGGTGTGAGGCGACACTGAGTGGAGCCATTGAGGATTCAGCGCATAGGGGGTGAGGAACACTGAGTGGAGGCAGTGAAGGGATTGGCAGAATGGGGTGGCGGACAACGGAGCGTTGTAAAGGGTGAATGAGTCTGCACCGTTATTCAGGATGGGTAGTGAAACTGAAGATTGCAAAGCGGGATGAGCCAGCGCGAGGGCAGTGCCTAGTTTGGAGGAGGGAGTTGGCAAGTAGTTACGAGTCGTGGAATATGATGAGTGGAGGGGATGAGCTGTTTTAGTGGTTTCTGGATAGAGGAACGTGCGGCAGTTTTGCGATGTTTGCGGAGGTGGAGCTCTGCATGTTGTGCGGCGGAGTCTTTGCCATGTTGCGAGGTGCGAGTCTGCAAACGAGTGTTGTTAAAGATTATGGTAACATGGGGCTGGAAGGATAGTTGGAGAGAGTCCAAAGATGACACCAAGTAACTTCTGGCACTGTCGGGGCGGGTTTGATGGTGGCGTTGTTTGGAACATTGATGGAGAAAGTCAATGGGGGGTGGTGTCCCGGGCTGGGGGGGGAAGACAAATAACTGCGGTTTTTGGGAGAGCGTTCAACATTTAAGGAAGTGTAGCGAGACATCCACAGTCTGATATGTCGCTCAACATGTGTGTATGATTCGGACTCGTGAGACCGAGGGGTGAGGTTGGTGGGTTGAAAGATAGATGTGTGTCGTCGTCGCATAACGAGCGTGGTAGTTGAAGAGCCGTGAGAGAGTTGTGAGGGCCGATGGGAGGAGTGTAGGATGGAGAAGAGAAGTGGCCCGAGAGACAAGAGCCGTGAGGGAACCCCAACAGAAGAGGTGGGAGTGAGAGGTAGGTGGTGTAGCATTATAGGTTACGCTGAAAGATGAGCGTATGTGACAGGTAGATGAGTAAAGCCAGGAAGAGAGCAGAATCTCTGAGGCCGAGGAGTGGTATTTTTTGAGGAGGAGGGGGTGGGAGGACTGTGTCCGAAAGGCCGCAGACAGAGGTGTCAAGGTAGTTTAGGAGCACTGAAAGAGTGGTGCCATTAGCTTTGGCGTTTAGCAGTCTCGTATGGAAGAGTTATGAGTAAGGCAGATTCGGGAAGTGAGTGTAGAGGAACGGAAGCCGGACTGTTAGGAATCGAGGAGGTTGTTATTGTCGGTTGAGGTGGAGAATAAGGCGGGGCGTAGACTAGGCGCTCGAAGGAGCTTTTTTTAGAAGATGTCAATGAGTAGGGAGATGGGTCTGGAGGTTGTTGCAGATGTCCAGTGGGGTCCCAGGGAGGGCGGGACGGAGGCTTTTAAGTATGGGCGGTGATGTGTTGTTTCAGAGAGGAATGGAAAGTGCCGAGAGCAGATGAGAGATTGAAGATGTGGTGAGCGGAGCCGTAGGATGGGAAGGGGAGAGTAGTTGAAGGAGCTTTGAGGGATAATGGGCAAGGGGGCACGGTGTGTGAGTCGGGCATCTAGGAGAGGATCTTGGAGACTTCCATTCCGTCCTGGTAGTAAAGTCAAAGGTGCGGAGATGTTGGGATGCATCAGTATGAGGAATGTAGGGTGGGGTGGAGGAGAAGAGGATCAAGAGCAGTGGTGGGCCCTGTGGGAGATGTGGTGATAAGATGGGAAGGGGGTAGGAGAGGGCGGGAGTTTGAGCAGCGACGAAGTCCCTGTGGGTTATGTTCGAGGGGGAGGGTGATGAGGTGAGTAGCTCTGTGTGAAGAGGGATCGGTAGTTGATAAGGCGTGTGAGTTGACGGCAGAAGGTCCCTTTGGCGAATCTAGGTGTCAAATCTTGTTTTTGAAGTGATTGGCAATCTCAAAGGGCATGTGACGTGAGGTGCTGAGAGTGTGCGGCGGGGAGTGGTGGAAGCTGATGTGCTGGGTGAGAGGTGGGGTGGAGAGAGAGTAAGAGTTTTTAGAAGGTGAGAAAGATAACTGGCGAGGATTGGAGGAGAGGTCCTTGATGAGGAGGTCAAGAAGTAACGCCTGTTTGGCAGCTATGGAGGAAGGAGGAGATGTGTAGGTGTGGAAGGCAGATTTGTAGCGGGTGAAGGCTTGTCTATGGGATTTGGATTTTTGCGCCATGATGTCTCCGCTCCCAGGGCACGACTTTGTCGTTTGAGGGTTTTGGTGTGTATCAAAGTCCTGCCATGCTAGGAGCGCGATCGTGGTCTGATGTTTGCGTGTAGGTTAAAGCCGGCTAGTGAGTCTAGGCCTGATTGACAGCGCAGTGTATGAGGACGGTCAATATCCAAGTTTCGGGCGCAGACACAGGGAGGATTGCTGTCAAGTGGATCTTGATCACTAGCAGAAGTGGAGGGGAGCAGTGTTTCAGGTTTGCGGAGGTTACGGCATGAGTATAGTGTGACATTTGGAGAGGGTAGGTTGTTGGAGGAACTGAGGAGATTAGAGAAAGAGTGATCAGTTTGATGGTCAGAGAGAGGGAATGGCGAGTAGTTAGTGACGGTTGTGGGGAGCGGCAGTGGCGGTTGGAGAAGAACCGATATTCCACAGGATATTAACCGACGAGTGGCGTGTGGATTTGTATGCACTTGAGAGAGCAAGTGCATAAGAGAGAGATGTTAAGTGGAGGAGACGGGCTGGATCGTCCCGGTTGTCGGAGGTTGACAGGATAGAATGATGAACATCCCAAGGATGATAGTGGAGGGTAGCTCCGCAGGAGAGGAAGCAGGGTATAGCCAGGGAGGAGAAGTCTTCCAGGAACGGAAATATGGAATCCAGGAGGCCGGTATATAATCACAAAAAAAAAAGAGCAAAATCGTCAGGGTGGTCATGGGGAGAATAGTCGGCCTCAATTGGGCCTCGAATGAAGGAGAAGGATCTAGCGAGGGGGGGTTTGGGAGCGACTCGGAAGAGGTGCTCTGGGCCGGTGTGGGGGGGATCAG